GTCTCACAGCCTGGACACAAATGCACGTCTTTGTTTATATGTTCGTCTATATAATATTTTTTATATATATATTTGATTTTATTTTTTGTTTTGGGTGTAAGCAGTTTAATAGATGACAGGGATACCAAAGAAGAAAGCTGAAGTATTTTGTAAGATACTCATATGTGTCTGCATTTTGGATGCCCTTCATCAAGTGGAATATAATAATTACTTTATATGAAGTCTTAGTCTTAGTAACAATTTATATACTAATATACAGTATGTTACCTGTGGTTTTTGTTTCTCTTTCATATATGTAATGTCATATATGTAATAATTACAAGTTTATTGCAGTACTCTACATTGGCCTCTATATAAGGGCAGTCAGACACCCACACTCTACCCACCCAAAGACAAGAAAAAGGCCAAATTAGAAGAATTATTCTTTTTTTTACAGCCCTTGATTGGAAATTGCTTGCACAAATAATCTTTTTTTTTTCTTTTATTAACATTTTTTTTTAATGATTTATTTTACCAACTAGTCATTGGTAAATAATACAAGTTTTGAAATGTTTTGTTTATTTATTGAATTGCCCTGCCTGATGAAATTAAGTTCAGATAAAACTGCATCCATAGAGGAACACATGCTTGCTCATTTCAATTTCAGGAGATATCTGTGGATTTTAAGCATACTGTCCCTGACTTGCCAGAATTTGTCCATTGGTCTTTGGCCACATCAGACACACACACACACACACACACACACACACACACACACACACTTGCATATATACACACCAAATATGCTGTTCCTGGGGTCTAGAGCCGCCAAAGCCAATCATGGCTGTCGGTGTGAAGTGGGCATGCCTGTTCCAGACCCCTGCAGTCCCTCTGTATGTCTGTGCCGGCCACAGACAAAATACATGCCTAATGGCACTCTGTTTTTTCTGTTGGTGTGTTTCTGTGTGTGTGTATTTGTCGCACCAGCGTCTGTATGTGTCAGGGTTTGTCTAACGCACACTGACTAGCAGGGACACCCACGCAGGGCATTTGCAAACAGACACAGGGCAATTGTTCCAGCAGTATTGAATTAGGCATGTGGACATAAATACGTACACACACACACACACACATGCACAAACTTGGCTTGAGAGCTTGGCATGGGGCGCGAGAGAGCAGCGTGTGGTGCACTGGCTCACCTCAGAAACCTCCGAAAACAATTACTGCTCTCACAGGGCTGGTCAGGGCACAGCTTGTACTAATAGACTGGACTACAGAATTGAATTGAATTGAACTGAGCTAAATTCAATTGAATTGAATTGAACTGAAGCATATCTGATCATGGCCTATTTTACCAGACACTGAAAGAACTAAGACACATAAGAAAAGGTGAAACAGCATGGTGCTTTATTATCTCTCCAGGACTTAATATGACAGAGCAGAGAGGCCAGAGAAAGCCTGTGGAGAGAAACATCCCTAAGGCAGACCAGTTGGACCCCATTCACCTATCATTAGGCATGGTTCTTTCATGTATGTTCTTAGGCACTCTCTTTACTTTTACCTGCGTGTATGTGTGTGTTAGAGACAAAGAGAGAGAGAGAGAGAGTGTGTGTGTGTGTGTGTGTGTGTGTGTGTGTGTGTGTGTGTGTGTGTGTGTGTGTGTGTGTGTGTGTGTGTGTGCATGCACGTGTGTAGCCATATGCTAATGTTGGTCCGTTTCTCTGTCTCTGTCTCTCTGCGGGGCCCAGTGCAGGGGCCTTTGTGAGATAATCAGCATAATTCTTTTGACAAATACACATGGTTATTCTTAATTAGTATCACACACTGTCCCCCCGGCTGCACCATGCCTCTCCACCTGAATATCACACACACTCAGCTGTGCACTTGCACTGGCGCACACACACACACACACACACACACACACACACACACACACACACACACACACACACTTCTACTAGGGACACATAAGTACAAAACAAGATGCATGCAGATGTGGGCTTGTTAGGATACATGCAAATGCACACAAATAAACACCATATACCGATATATTTGCACAAGGATTCAAAGAGCACACATGCACAATGACCCTTTTATATAGGCTACACACAGAAACACACGCACACTGTCCACATGACCCCTGCTGTTGCTCAGCTCACACACCAAAGAGAAGACAGAATGAGGAAATAAAAGATTGAATAGATTGCTTCCTTGCCCTCAGTGCTAAGTTGTGTTGAACCATGTAAGATCTGAGGGCTCTTTAATGTATAAATTAGCAAGACCTCTTCCTGTCTCTTCTCTTCTTTCCCTATCATTGTCTCCTTTTCTCTCCCTCTGTCTTGTTTACAATCTTTCCTTTACATCTGTGCAAATCTCTCTTGTTCTCCCCCCATCTCTCCCTCTCTCTCTTGTGACTCCGTGCTCCTCCTCTGTTCTTTTGCATTTGGCTTTATTAAGTAGTGACTTTGATCACACATGCTCAGGCACTCTGAGTTTAGGTTGACGAGAACCTTTTTTGCTTTCATATCTTACATTGTAGCTTTTCAAGTGGTCTTCATAGATTGGACATTTTTTTTAAAATAGGCTTAACAAACACAGCCATTTGTCAAAAGCAGTTTTTGCTGCTGAAGACAATTGGTCTAGTTATAATTTTGCTGATGCTGATGAAAATAGTACACTAGAACCCGGCCTTAATATTACATTGAGATCATAAATGCCTGTTTCTAAATTGCTGTATAGCTCTTGCTCCAAAATTGGTTTCTATTAAAAATATAACAACCATTGTTATATAGCTCTAACTGTTTAATTGTATACACTTCAAGGTCAGATGTTAAGGTTAAGTTCAGTTAAAGTTGGGAAATTAAATTCCAACTGTGTGGTCTTACCTTAACTCTGTTATTCATTTCATTATTTCTCTGGCGTGTGTATGTGTTTTCCTACACATTCCCTAATATGCGTACGATACTGTTAAAGTGTTTTTTTGTGTGTGTGTGTGTATGTGTGTGTCTGCACATGTGTATGTATGAGAGAGAAATAGTTATTGAGGGAGCTGTTAATGTAATGTAATAGTAGTGCGTTTTAGTGTTACACCATTTGATTACTGCCTGTCTACTGTGTGTCTGTGTGTGTGCAGTTAGCAGGCTGAGGTGGTGAATTTCATAGTGCTAGATTGTCGAGTGTGTGTGTATGTGTGTGTGTGTGTGTGTGTGTGTGTGTGTGTGTGTGTGCTTGTGTGTGAGGAGGCCGTTAATGTGGTGTGTTTCAGTGATAAAGTGTTTGAATGTATTGCCATCTAGAGGCGTGTAGCAGAGTCTCCATGCTCCTATAAAAGCTGCCAGCGCCAGATGCTGCTATTGACAATGTGCATATGTTAACCGCTTTATAGGCCACATGCCTCACATATTTCACTGGCTTTTAAGGTAGAGAGATCTCTCATTCTCGCTCACTTAATCTGTCTCTCCCTTTTGCCACATTTATCTTTTTTTTCTCTCCCGCTTTAGCTTTCCTCCATCTTTTTTTACCCATTCACTCAATCTCTTTCTGCGCTACTCTTTCTCACACACTCCTCCTCCTTCTGTCTCTCCTTTTTTATTCCTTTCATCAGTTGTTAACTTACTCACCTCTTACTTTTTCTACCCCTCTTTTCGGATTCTCTGTCCTGCGTTGCCTTACTTAATTTCATTCCGATCTCTTTTTTCTTTTCGGCCTTTATTTCTCACTCCCACTGCCCCCTTTTCTTTCTATCTCTCTCCACCCTGTGTCTCTCTCTTTGCCTCCCTCCCTCTCTCTACTGAGAAGTGCTGTGATTTGCAGGAGGATTTAGCTTGTGTCTAGGTGTCTAGGGGCTTATTAATCCTATTTTACTGTGGATGAAAAACACGTTGGCTCCCAGACATGAAAACAGTGAATACATGCATTCTGGTTGTTGTTCAGACAGTTCATCCTTGGTGCCACGCTACGGTGATTTGTCAGGGTTTCCATTTGATTCAGTTTGAATTGGAGCCTTTTTGATCCTCTTGCTGCTGCATTGAAGTGGGTTACCAGTTAATCTCTTTACATATGCCTAATACAGTCCTGAACAGACAATTTTTTAAAAACTGCAGACTCAACACATGAAAAAATAGTCTCCTATGTTTGTTCACACAAATATGTTCACACACACATACACAGAGAAACATCACTCTCATAGCTGCTTTAAAGCTTACAGTCATAAACAAACAAACAAACAAACAAGCAATGCTACATCCTGGAGCCTAGTGCTCCCTGACTACCATGTCATTGCACACCAGGGCCTTTTGAAACAACAGTGTGTCTCTTATCAATTAGTAAATGGTGTTCCCACTGTATCACACACACACATACACACTGCCCCTGTGTCTGCCAGGGTGTTGGGCTGGGTCCCACTGCCTAAAGCTACTGGCAGACTTACTGCCTGTGTCTCTCTCTCTCTCTGTGTGTGTGTGTGTGTGTGTGTGTGTGTGTGTGTGTGTGTGTGTGTGTGTGTGTGTGTGTGTGTGTGTGTGATATGAAAGGGTGCATGTGTGACATAAACACTCAATCTGGAAGCTTTGAATTCACCCATAAGGGACGGCTGCCTGCCTGCCAGTCTCTCTCTGTCTCTGCCACTTCTCTGGTGTCTACTTACTTTACCATGGCAGAGCCTGTATGTTGAAATGTTGATATCACAAATCCCATGTCATGTCATCTTAGCTTGCCATTGTTTCAGTGTTCCGTTTCATTCCCCATTTTAATGAGTAATGCACTGGTTTTTATTCATGCAGGATTTGTTTGTGTAACTAATTTCCTCTCATTCTCTTCTCTTGCTATGGCATGCTACCCTCTTCCCTGTTTCCCTCTCCATCTCTGCTCTTTTATTCTTTCTCCTTTTAACTCTTGCCCAATCATTCCTTTGTCTTCCCTCTTTACTCTCCTATATCTCCTACTTCCTACGACTATCTCCCTTTCATACCTCTCTCCTACTTTTGCCTGCTTTTCTTACTTGTATTCCTTCCATCTGTCAGGGTTCAGTCCTAGAAGCGACAGTCTATGGTCTTGAACCGTACAGTCAGTATAGTCTACGAGTGGAAGCTGTGAACGATGCTGGTAGGTTGATAATGATCAGTAACTCATTTAAAATATCAGGGATAAATCATACTAACATCAACCACTGGACCATTCCACTGAGTGTAGATGCTTTGTAACCCTTCAGGTAGCGTGTCCAGTCCCTGGGTTGGCATTAGGACCCTAGAAGCTTCGCCTGCCGGCCTGGCCAACTTCACAGTGGAGCAGAGAGAGCAGGGCAGGGCGTTACTGCTGAGCTGGGATCAGCCAAGTGCTCCAAATGGAATCATCACGGTACAGACTGTACAATACACACAGCAAAGACAGCAGATAGATACCAATAATATAAACAGACATACATACAAACCCCAACAATTACACTCATAATTGACCAACTTATAACTTCCAATCAATCACAACTCATTTGCATACTTACACATATATACTAATACACACTATGTGTACACTACAGCAATAGACTTGCACCTGAAGTCAGACCAGTCATGCATACCCACATTGCTGCATACATACTACTGAAAAAAGCTCTTTCCTTCTTTGATGTGTTCTCTCCTCTCACCCGTTTGGCATCTTTGTCCCTCGTCTGTTCCTATTATGTCCTACTTTAACCCACCTACTCTTCCTCTCCTCCTCTACCACTTTTCTTTCCTCCTCCCTGCTTTCCGTCTCTTCCTTTTCAGATGTATAACCTGTACAGTGAGGGGAACCTGGAATTCAGTGGGCTATCGCGCAACTTTCTGTTTCGTCGTTTGGAGCCATGGACTATATATTCTTTGACTCTTGAAGCTTGTACCTCAGCAGGCTGCACACGCACCCCTCCTCAGCACATCACCACAGCAGCGGCTCCACCTGCTTCCCAGGCCCCTCCCAGGCCTCTCTTCATTGGCCCAGACCATGTGTCACTTACCTGGGGCCCACCCTCACAGCCCAATGGGCCAATCGGAGAGTATTTCTTACTTGGGAGAAGTCTGGAGGAAGTGGGGAGGGGACGAAGCAATGAAGAGGGTACTGAAAGGGGAAAGGTAGGTGAAAGTAAAGACACATCTCTAAAGATATAGGCAGTCATGTCATGTTTCTGCTCCTATAACTAACACATTTCACTGGAGTCAGTATGTCTTGGTTATTAAATGAAAATTGTGTAACTACTGTACAACTCCTCAACCTTAATCATGTTGTCTCCAACAGGTGTTATTCAGAGAATCATCCCCACAACATGCTGACACCTTTTCGTATACAGTGACTGGTCTGCGTCCCTGGACGCAGTACGAGTTTAGTGTCCAAACTCATAATCCCGCTGGACACACCCGTAGTCCCTGGGTTACTGTGACAACCAGACAGGCCCCTCCTCGTGGTCTAGCCCCCCCAACAGTTAGTCATCTCCAAGGCCAGCCTAGTGAGGTGTTGGTGTCCTGGACCGCTCCTCTGGAGCCCAACGGGGTACTTCAGTCCTACAGGATTCAGAGAAACAATATCAGTTTCTCATTTAGTTTTGACCCGACTGTCCTCAGCTACACTGATGAAGACCTCCTTCCATTTTCAACATATAGGTATTACTATTAACTAACCTGAATGTTTCCTTGTGGGGATTCAAAATAACCACCACACACAAATTGATCATTTTTAATAGAGATGATTACCGTAATTCTTTTCTTTTCTTTTTTTTTTATTTTCTTTTCTACAGCTACTCAGTCATAGCCTGCACGTCTGAGGGATGCATGACCAGCCCTCAAACAAACATCACAACTCTAGAGGCTCCACCTGCCACAGTGGAAGCTCCCACAGTAGACAGCACAACATCCAATAGTATAAACATTTCCTGGAGCAACCCACTGACAAACAATGGAGAGGTGACTGAGTATGTGCTGAAACTGAACAACGAAGAAGCTTATCGTGGTAGAAGCCTGCATACAGTGTTGTCAAATCTGCAGCCACACACATCATATCAGCTGGTCCTTTTAGCTTGTACCAGCGGTGGGTGCTCTGCCAGCACAACGCTGTCCACTGTAACTGGTGAGGCTCCTCCCACTGGCCTGCCTGCCCCAACTCTTAAGGTTTGTTTCCATATTTTTGACTTCCAGTGAAACCTTTGGTATACAAGTACAATACCTAAATCTTTTGATTTGAATCCAAATGGATCACTTGCTTTGTAATATTAAAGACATTTCACCGCTCATCTAAGAGAACTTATCCTCTTGCACAAATGACCAAAACCTCCTCAGCCATTAATTACATGATACAAATCATATACTTTAGTTTTTTTGTTATAACTTTTTATTTGATTATTATTATTATTATTTGGGTGAGATTTGTTGAGTTTTATCTCTGTTTGATGTAACCTTTAACCTTTCCTTTGAAGGTCACTGGCCCAGAGTCAGTGGAGGTTAGCTGGAGACCACCAGAGCAACCTAATGGCATCATCACCGGGTATGAGCTTCGCAGAGATGGGGAAGTTATCTTTGTCGGCACAGAGACCCATTACCACGACTTCACACTTTTGCCAAGCGTAGAATATAGCTATGTTGTCAGGGCCAACAACAGCAAAGGAGCAGTGAGCAGCTCGCCAGCCACTGCAAAGACTCACCCATCAGCTCCTTCTGGTGTCGGTCTCCCCACACTGACGCCTCTGGGACCAAGCCAGGTGAGCCATTCATCTCTTCAGTCCATATAGGTAACAGCGGAATCATGACATTACTACTTCTTACTATCTTTAAATTGTTGTTCAAAAGTTTTTTTGCTTTATGTTGTTTTTCTTTCTAGCTGAGAGTAGAGTGGAGTACTCCAGCCCGTCCTAATGGAGACATTGTGAGTTACACTATATTTCAAAGAGATCCAGTCCAGCTCAGCATCACCAGCACTGTATTCACTCCAGAGGATGGTGACTTCTCTGCCCGACATGCCACTCTGCATGAGCTGGCTCCTTACCACAGGTCAGTCAAAGCAGATCTCCACCACAGGTCACTTTTAGGTTTTTATGCTGCAAAATATGTTGCTTATTGATGTACAGGTAGGAAGATTATGTAGTTTTTAAAAAAAAATTATTGCAAAGCTGAAGGTCAAAGATTTTACATTTTCCTTAACCTGCATTGCATAAAATGGTTAAGAAAAAAGCTGACCAACACAGTTTCCTTTTTCCTGTACCTGTAATGAAGGAAAATATGGGTAGGAACAAGAATTAAAAATGGGTGATGAAGGGAACAGAGTGCCATCTCTTGGTTTCAGGAAAAACATTCTTTACAAGCCACAAACACCAGAGCTAGGTTCAACTTATTGTATTCTGTTAATAAGTAACTTTAATTTTTTTTTCTTTAATTCTTTTTAAGTCTAGTCAGTCCAAATTTTTAAAATAACATTAAAATTTAGTATATATTTTAAAAGAACTGAACTTTTGTCTTTGTCAGGTAACAGTAACGGTGCTGCTGCTGCACACTTATAAATAAGTCAAATGCAAGCAAGAAATAGAGAGACAGAGAAAAAGGAGAAGGGAGTAAGCCTTGAAGCAGTGGCCATGTATCCATCTCTCTCTTAGACAAGGACAGCTGTATAGACCAAAGACTGTATATGTGTGTATTTCTGTGTGTGCAAGGGTGCATATGCATGTGTAGCTTTGTGTGTCTGCTCCAGTATACACACATCACTGTGCTTGAAAGTGTGGCTGTGTATGCGTAAGTGTGTGTGTGTGTGTGGTGATAAGATTTAGATAATAAAAGCTCATCAGCCTTATCATCTAAAGATCACTCCCCCTCTCTCTCTGATGACCTTCTATCCATTCAACTCTTCTTCATCACCTTCTCTCTCTTTTTCTCCCCCTCACTCCTCTCTGTCGTCTCCTTTATTCCTTTCTTTCTCCAAAACACAACAGTGCCTCCAAATCAGTTACCTTGTTATGTTGGTTGTACTCTGATAATGCTCAGTGGACATGTGGTTGAGACAAACATGCTGTTAATTACAGCCCAGGAAGCTGAGCAGTCAGCCATTCAAAAATCATGTAATAAAGTATCAAAGTTATTTGTGTTTCTTTTCCACAGTTGCCTCTTACACAGTATACAAAAATTTGCTGATTATTGCATTTTAAAATATGTGCCTTTCTGTGCGTGTAGGTATGAAGTGAGGGTGGAGGCTTGCACAGCGCTGGGCTGCTCCTCCAGTGACTGGTCATCTGTACTCACTCTGGAGGCTCCCCCTGCTGGACAAACATCGCCACTGTTAGACCTTCAGCCTGACACACACACCAGCCTACAGACCACCTTCCTGCTCACCTGGTCTCATCCAACTCAGCCAAATGGTAGAATCCTTCATTATGAGGTGTACCGCAGGCTGGACCATACATCTGACACCCACAGAAGGGATGCAGCAACACTTGTCTACCGGAATATCTCTGCTACGTGCAAAGATGAAGCACTCCAGCCGTATACTGTCTACCAGTACCAGGTACAATGCTCTGTGCATATACGCATTATACGTGTGTATACAGTTACCATGTGCTTACAGACACTACGTAAAAACAAATGTAAAATATTAGATGTATTTTTTGGAGCAAATAAGAATCAAAGAGGTCCTTAATCCAAAGAAGGAAGGAAGGAAAACAAAATTAATAGCAGAACAATTAACACAAAAAGTGCAAATGGTTCTTGCATATACAGAAATATGATAACTAAAAACACAGTTCATCTTAGTTGCTATAAACTTTTAGCAGTCCTCACTTCTTATGTCTGAAATGTCCACTGCTTTTGTCCTCTGCAGTATACATGGAGTTAAATGTTTTATTGTGATCTGTGAACCTCATTTGAAGATGAGATCTGATGTGACTGACACATCAGAAGAAGCATATTGTCACAGTGAAATGTTTTCCAGAAGTCCAGTCACACACACCCTAGACTGATATAGTCATCCATACACACACCAACATACACAGACATACACACACTAGCCAAGTAATCAGACAGGTGTTAAATGGCGGGGTCCATATTCATGCTGTTGTGCTGTGCGTTGGTACGCTAATTGACAGGCTAGCCCTTTGGAAGCAACAATAACATTAGCATTCCTGCCTGTCAGACATACGAGCCGAGGCCAGAGAACCTGTGTAATTGATTGAGTTTGCCTGATTGTGGTGCCGTCTTTATTTACGAGGGTCCTAATTTATGACAGGAGGAGGGAGGGAGGGAGGAGCTTTGGGAGATGACGGGCGGGCAACAGAGCCATTAATCACTGGGTCCTCAGAGCACCCCACTTCCTGATTACCAGCCAGCCAATCGAATTAACTGTTAGCCCCCTTGGTAACAGAGCTTGTATTGGAAAGACCTTTTAATGGTGACCGCTACACGTCCCCTGAGGATTTGTCAGTGGGGGATTGGGGTACGTGGACAAGGTGGTGGTATGTGTGTGATGTCCATGAATACATGTACACAGCAGCACTCTGTGTTTGTGTGTGCATGTTAACATCTGTGAGTGTGTGTGCGTGTGTGTGTCAGAGACAGATAAGCGAATAAACATTTTTGAATATTCATAGTTTCATAGATTCATATTCAAGTTATTCATCATGCCATTTCTTTCAATTTCCGAGCAATAAGTTATACTTTCTAAGTGTCTGCCTGTCTATCGACCAATTTATCGGTCTCTCCTCTTACCTACCTACCTGTCTGTCTTTATATCTATCTGCCTGGCTTTATTTTTATTTAGCAGTTAATCTGTCTGTGTACTTATCTGGCTCTCATCCTTTCTGTCTGTGTGTTTGAAGCGTACACAAGGACGATAAGTCAGTTCAGTTTAGCACACCACAGTGCAGAGAGAGAAATCATATTAGGCTAATTACACTGGGTCATAAGCTCCTATTGACAGCTTTATGCTTGGTTTTAATTACTGCCCACTTTCACACAACTTAGCCCCTTCACCCCAAGTAGATGCACCCGCCAAGTAGCTCTGCTGGCCTATCAGAGTGCTCAAATCAAGTCCGCAGTCTAACCGACCAATAAAAATGCTCAAATACTGTCTGGTAGTTTCCTGAAGTCGTTTGTTGCCATGGCGGCTCCTTTGCTGCCATGGCAGCTAACGGCGTATATTTTTATTTTGTGTCTAATAAGCCAAATCACGGCCCAATAGGAGAAGAGAGGACAAGAGAGGAGAGAAAGCAGTAAAAAGTCTGTGGATGATATAAGGACGGGAAGAGTTGTACCTTTTTAGCACTGGATCAAGGGCAAGGTGTTCTGTGCTGACTTAAGTTTTGAACTTTTTCTGTTCTGTCTATGTGGCACAAACTTCTTAATCAAGCCCAAAGCCTTGCGTCACCTTGATGCTTTAACTGTGTTGCTACTAGGGGAAGAACATGGTTGTTGCTGGGTAGAAATATCGCACTGCTGCAGTTGTAATTTTGGATGACGGTGGAAGCTAATTTAATTGAAAACCTTTTAAGCAACAAGTCAAGTCACAGCTCCCGTGCAGAAACTATATGTGCAGAGAGAAAACTTTTTCTTTTACCTGATGCTAATGCATGTTTTATTCAAGCTATATAACTAGACATTTTGTATTATTTCCAGTGGCTCTGTTCCATTCATGTGAGGCTGCAGATGTGATTACAACCACTGTTTGTTGATCATGGTTTTGCAATAAAAGGTACAATCAAGACATTGTCGGCATAATTACTAATTACAATAGAACTGATTGCTAACATACAGAGGAAATCAAAACTCAGTTGAGTCAGTTGTTATTGGGAAGCCAGAATCACCCCCTGTATGTGCTTTTCACATCATGCTAATAGTGTTTACACTATTACAGTTCTTATTAAATGATATCATTTCATTTAGTATAGGACAGCCATTATTTTGATGATTTATTATTTTGATAGACACTTCAACCAATGACATAATGAACATAGTTTTAATGACAAACACGAATGTATGTTTCATTTTTAATCATCTTCGTCAGTTTTTCCTCATACTTACTGTACACACACACACACACACACACACACACACACAAGCACACAGACTCACACCAGCACTATAGGGGCATCTCAACAGCTGTTAACTGCATGCTTCTCTTTGACCTTTTCCTTATCAGGGTGACAGCATGCCCTTTACCTAACGTACCCGTTCCCTTCCATCCCTCCACCCATCCTTCTTACTTCTCCACACAGGCTTCTGTCCTGTCTTTCATTGTTCTTCCTGCCATCCCTCCCACCATTCCCCTACCCTCATCTACCGGATGAAGTGTAGACAATGAACCATCATACTGATTATACGAAAAAACAGAAATACTCAGAGGACTTACTCTTAAAACTTACTCTTGACATTCATATAATGCCGTGATTATATTCTTATGATCAAACCTTGAAAGTTAATATTTATAACGCTTCAATTTGTCATTCCTTCTCTTTTTTATTCTCTTAGAGTTTAATTTCAGTAATGACTTCTACTTCATTAATTGTATGAACATTTCTCTAAGTATGATATTAAATATTAAATATTATACAGATATCCAAAATACTCTTATCTTAGGTTTAGGTGCAGCCTCAATTTCCATTGTCACTGCATTTTGGTTTATCATCCAAGCTTGTTCATCTTAGATAAAGCCTACCACTTAACTGCACCTTTTGAGCTGTCCTGCACTCCTTGTATAATACATCGATAAGTCACTGTGCTTAGTTGCTGCCTTAGGCCATGGTCAATACAATAGCAGTGTATCAAGTTGACTCAGATCTAGCAACACACTGCATTGGTGAGTGACATACATGCAAATATCTAAAGCAGGTAGATACACTTGCAGTGTTTGCTGTCAATCTGAATGCACAGTATCAGTTGATGTTTGTTGGAAACACAAATAAGATGCTCCAAAAATGTGTGCCACATGTGAAAAGTGGAAAAGAGAATGGAACCGCATGGAAGTGCAGTATCAGCCAGTGGAGTCGGGATGGGCCACAATAATGGCCAATCACATCAGCTCCTCTCATTCTCTTTAAAAGCAGCAGACAGTTTCATGGGCCAGTGGACGAGTCCAGGTCAGTCTCTCTAATAAGAAACTGTAGGTGCAGAGTCACAAGTCACAAATATTAATATACAAATAAACATTCAAGGGCAGAAGTGTCTGTCCCTTTTTGAGTTTAATGGATTTATATTGCATTAGACACTAACATTTTGTGTTTGTGTGAAATTATTTTATTAAGTGACAATAAAGGTCGAATTCAGTCACACAGGTCTGGATACATTTGCATCTGCACAATGATGTAAATGCTACAAATACTGAGAAAAAAACAATAGTCTGGCTGCCTACTTGGTTCCATGTAACAGCAGTAAATATCACTGGGATAATACTGTTTACATGACGAAAGAAACGATGAAGCGGAAACTGTATTTTCAGAGGTTAAAATATCCCGATGTCTTATGCACTTTTGTCAGTTTTTGCGAATAACTCCACCTGAAATAACTGTGTAAATGTTCAACTTTGTGTGTGCAATAGCACACCAGACTACACAGGGTTGTATACCTATTTTATTGGATACTGTGTTGTGGCTATTAAGGCTGTTTGACTGGTAAGAATCACCTATTAGTGTGTGTTTTATAGTACAGTAATCAAGTCAGTGTGTTTGATTTGTATTTAAATATACACTACAGTAAAAAGTAAAAGAGGCAAAGTTTGGCATTGAAACGTTTTTTCATGATGTTGGGATGTACGTGTCCACCAACTAAAGCCATGCAGTTAGCTCTAAGGTGGATGAGGATGTGAAATCCAAGCACCATTTCAATATAATCTTATCTGTAGAACTGAACCACTATCACTATCCAAGCAGGTTCATTTGGAGTCATGAAAAAATTATACAGCTCAAAATTTCTCCTGTTTCCTCTGTTGGGTCTTGTCCACCCTTCCTCCTGTCCCCCTCCTCCTCCTCCTCCTCCATAATTCCCAGTGTCTCCATCTTCCATTCTTCTTTTGCCTTCTCCCATCTCAGTCCATCTGTGCTGTCACTTAGATCAATCAGTCTGATTGATCACGGCCTAATTGACTATTATTGAGGTTAATTCAACTCTTAGCACACTTGCATGCACTCGCATACACGCACAAAACCCTACAAACAACACATCACACACACAGACACACAGACACACACTTTCAACAGTAAAGCTCAGACCCATCCATCTGCCTTCTGCACTACTTCTGACAGGCTACAGATGACTTACACATGCAAATCTCCACCCTGCCTGACCCTGTGCTGTGTACACCCTCTAATTATACCCAACACAAGCACACAAATAAGATTACTCTCTCTCTCTCTCTCTCTCTCTCTCTCTCTCTCTCTCTCTCTCTCTCTCTCTCTCTCTCTCTCTGTGTGTGTGTGTGTGTGTGTGTGTGTGTGTGTGTGTGTGTGTGTGTGTGTGTGTGTGTGTGTGTGTGTGTGTGAAAATAACTCCTTGATGAAGGTGAAAAGTAATTGTCATGCAGATATGTTAGTGTTGGGTTGCATGTTGAAAAGGTTTTGCTCTCACTGCTGATGGTAGTTTTGATGGATGGTCCAATGAATTGACTTATATCCTTTTTGGTTGTCTGGTGGATACTGGGTAATTAAGAGAAGCTTTCAGCATTCAGGGTTAATAAAATGAACCAAAAAAGAAAGGATAAAAAAAGTTACCTTTATGTCTGGCTTTCACTTTGTGTCACACATACTCTATTACTCACTGTCAGTTATATATGTGAATTAAATATAATGATATCATTGACTGATCTGTGGTTTTGACGGACAGGTGTGGGCAGTGAATTCAGCTGGCCATTCTGCCAGTGCGTGGGCCAGTGGGCGAACAGGACCTGCCCCACCGGAGGGTGTCGGTCCACCTACTTTCCTACGCGTTTCAGCAACCTCAGTGGTAGTGGACATCCCTCCTCCGGCCCGATCCAATGGGATTGTTAGCCTTTACAGAGTGTTCTCTCTGAAAAACAACAACCATACTCTGGTAAACAACATAATACTACTATGTTCCTCTCCAGGCCTCCATTTTCTATTACTGTAACCTCCCTGATTACTGCCCCCTCTTCCTCTCTCTCCCATTTCCTCTCTTTCATCCCTGGCCCACCCACTATGTTTCTGAATACTATTCACCCAAAAGTTAAACTCAACCCCCACTCTTTCCCCTTCCTCTAGCTCTCAGAGGGTACATCCCATCAGCAGACACTCCATGGTTTACGTCCTTACACCCAGTACTGGGTAGGAGTAGAGGCCTGCACCTGTTATCAGGTAATAATACTGATGAAAGTAGCATCACAGATCCTGGTTGCCTATCTGGTCTTATTTTGGAACGTTTTCTTTTAAATTCTGCCAGTACTCTATACTTGTACACTCAGAAATACTATACATTTTTGAGGTCTCTGTTTTGAACATTTGACAGTGCTGCAGTCAGGGTCCACTGAGAGAGTTCCACACCCTGGCTGCGCCCCCAGCCCACCAGCCTCCTCCTCGCCTCGTCACCCTGACCTCCCTCTCTGTTCAGCTGGAATGGGATGAGCCTCTGGCACCTAATGGAGTCATTGAGAGGTGTGTAGAAAACATAAAGAAATACATAGGAAAAAGTATTTGCTCAGATTTTGTTAATGGTCTCGCTTACTTACTCTCTTTCTCTCTGTTTCCAGCTGTGAGCTTCATCTCAGATCACCTTGTCCGCAGCCCCCCCAGCCTGTGCCCCTCGCTTGCGTTAAAGGACCGATGGAAATCTGTTTCTTTGGCAAAAGGCGGAGCTACAATGTGACAGGTCACCCTTGTTTATGTCAAAAAATGTCTACTAACACTCAAATGTCTTGACCTTCTTTACAGTGAAAGTTATATTTGCACAAGTACCAAAACACCGTTCAGTAAAGCAGCACTGAAATTTCATTTAGAAGAAGAAAACATATAATAATAAAGAAGAACAATGACCAGAATTATACAATTTAAGTGTAAAACCAGTTAAGTTTTGAATTCCCAGTAGTGAGTGACCCATTAATAATACAAAACAGAGAGATCTATAAAGACTTAAGCAAGCACCACGAGTAGAAGGCAGGTGATAGCTTTGTAAATAATTGAGCTGAATTGAGAGAGACAACAAAAAAGGATACCAGTGAATTATAAGGACCTGGAAACCTAGTTGCATAGTGTGTGTGTGTCTGTCTGTCTGTCTGTCTTGTCTGTCTGTGGTTTGTGTTTTGTGTGAATAAACAACTGAACCAATCTGTGCAGGTCTCGAACCATACTCCACCTATCAGCTGAGAGTTGCCTGTTTCAACAACATGGGCAGCACTGCCTCCAACTGGACGACTGTTACCACACTCAGTGAAGGTAACAAATGCATCCAAACCCCCAATCCCTCAACCCTTCCAGCTAACCAGTCATAAGAAACATAAAAACACCCCCACCCCACGTCTCTCTCTCCCTCTCCCTCTCCCTCTCTCTTTCTCCCTCCAGCCCCCCAGTATGTGTCTCCTTTCTCCGTGGACAGTAACCTGACAGTTATCTGGCTGGACTGGGCAGGGTCGTTCTCCCTCAACGGCTACCTGAAGGAGTATAGCGTGACTGAGAGCCAACTGAGGGTGTACACTGGCTTCTACAGCTATATCCATATTCCACGCACCTCACAGAAAAGTGAGAGCACACACAGACACACACCAAACACACACGTACATACCCACTTACACGTTTAAGGGAGTTAATAACATAAATAAATACACACTTTTTAGGAGGAATGTCTACTTGTTAAGATAATACAGCAGACTGCAATTGGAGAAATAACACTGTTGTTGAATACTGGAATACAAAAATAAATGAATAAATAAGAAATATACTTGTCTAACTTTGTTTAACAGAATTGGTTAACCCTTACCAGTCCTTTAGCATCAGCGTCAGATAGCGTATGAAATATTGTTTAAATGAATTGGCTTTGGCTGACTGGTGCATGGAACATATAAGAATAATGGGCAATAAGCTACTGATATGATGAGCCTATATCATATTTAAGTGTCTTTTAAAGTTGAGTCTACAAATTTCATCAAACTTCTTATTTGATTGGTAATGAGGGCGAGCTAGGCCTTTGATTGAAGGGATGTGTTGATATGACGAGAGTATTTCAGAATGAGCCTTAGTTCAGTGTCAACAGGATCCTTAAAATCCAGTTTTCCTTGAAATTAGAATCACTGAAGTATGTTTTCTCCCTTCCTTTCTAAAGAAAGTGTCTTTGTTCCTATGTGTGGTATGTATGAATAAGCAGCCTTGCTAAAACCCTTGTTCAGAGTCATCCCTCCATAACAATCTCACTTTTCTTTTGCTCTGTCTCTTCCTCTGCTTTTCCTAGCTCTGTCATTTCAGGTGACTTGTACCACCGAAAGTGGCAGCGCCAGTACACCCACCATTAGATATAGTCCTGCCACAGGCCTAGGTAACACAGCACACACACACACACACACACACACACACACACACACACACACACACACACTGCTAGTCTTTCTTCAACTGTCTCTGTCAAAAAAGCCCAGGAAAAGTAAAATAAAAATGCACATAAACACATTGAATGAAACATATTGTTTATCTAGTAACTTACTCTCTCTCTCTCTCTCTCTCTCTCTCTGCAGCTCCTCATGAGCCTGAAGACAGTGGTAAACAGGGTGTCAGCATGTCAGCAACACCAGTTTACTCAGAGCTGTGGTTCATCTTGCTGTTAACCCTGCTGGGTCTATTTCTGCTAGCAATACTGCTGGGCCTGGTGCTGCAAAGGTATTCTAATGGCACGGATAGAATAGACAAAAATACCTTCTCCTCAAGCACACTGCACTTGTTCATATAAACTAATAGATAAAACTTACACGTCTTTACAAAACACAACACATGTAATAACAGACAGTGTATTTTGAATATCAACAACAACAGAAGGGTGTGAATGATTTTGTTTTCCCTTCTTAGAGCCCTGAGGAAAAATCCATCAGCCAGAGAGCGCCCTCCGCTGGTCATGCTTCAGAAGACCAGGAAGGCTGGGGGAGAGACGTACACGGTGAGAGGAGCAGAGAAACAAGGCCCTCGGTGAAAGAGAGAGTGAAGGGAGAGAATATGGAGAGGGAGAGAGAGAGAGAGAGGTAGTCGGGTTTACAAAGAGGTAGAAGCAGAAGATAAGTTAGGCTGCTAAGGAGCGGCGGTACATGGAAGCAGAAACAAAGCAGTTTCACAACTTGAAATCACTAGATGACTGAATCAGAACTCTTCATCACTGCAGATAGTAAACATTTTAGTAATGAATCTGTCTTTGCCAGAGCAGCCATGTCTTAATCTTTGTTCCACTAGAGGGGGCTGAAACAACAATTGTTCTTGGAAAGCTGTTCTTAGAATAGAAATGATTTTCTGTCCTGTTACCAGTAAGTAACTGGTTCAGTTTTAACGTGTGGAGTGTGAAGCCTACCCTTACACGTTTGTTTATCATAACAACACACATTACATAAATCAAGACATTAGGTCTTTCTTCCATTGTAAATCTGTAAATGAGAACGACAACCACATAGTTGTCACTCTAAAAATATACAGCTCTTTTTCTACATCTTGATAAATATAATATATATATATAAATATCATCCATTTATTTCTCAAATCACCCATTACCAATAAATACCAATAACAATGCTATTAAATTATCCACTGGATGATTAATTGCTTTATTCATTTTGTTTCTAACTTTTTTTTTTTCCATTTTGTTTTACTACTACTCTATTTCATTTTATTTTATTTTATTAATTCATTCAATTTTCCCTCTTTTTGCTCTTTTTTTCTTTTTCATTCTCTGTCAATCTTTCTTGCTCTACTTTTTCTTTTTTTATGTCTGTCTTCTCTGACTCCCCTTCTTTCCTATACTGCTTTCTCCACCCTCTCTGTCTCTCTCTCTCTCTCTCTCTCTCTCTCTCTCTCTCAGAGGCCCTGCCCTGAGTTGTGCTCTAAGCATCACTCCAGCTCTGTGTTCCTCCCCGATCGTCCCACAGTAAGACTATTTTCTATATTTATTGTCAACCCCCTAAATGTTTATTTTATTGTCCCCCTGCAGTTTGACACTGTAGCAGACTGTGTTGAGATCAGCAACGTTATTCTTAAAAGCTACACTGTGTACACTGAGGTATGGGATTGTGAATTTGTGTGGGTGCCTTTCTACGCATGTCTGTTTTGTTTTTGTGTATGCATGCTTCGTGTGTGTGTGTGTGTGTGTGTGTGTGTGTGTGTGTAAAAAGCTGAATTGTTATATTACAGTGGCTGGTTAATCTGGGATTGTAAAGGTAAGACTTGTTGTACAGTTTTGCGGTTGTCCTTAAATTTAGTGTTTATACAGTGTATGCAACAAATACAATCATTTGATACATCCAGATTCTCTTTCATAAATCTGCCAAAAAACTGTGTCATACTTTATCTTAATCTTTTGCTTTGTTTTACGGCTCAAGCTGAATTGGTTTTTGTTTACTGTTAAACATATGTTTAAAAAAATAAACAAACATTTCAATCCAAACAATAATTCAAATATATTGTGTTAGTATATTTCCAAAAGATATTTTCCTGTTCAGAGGCAACAGAATCAATAATCTGTTTACCTCCTTGTTACCTGTAATTTAGTTATTATGTAACAGTAATATCCAGATCACACAACTGCTGCATTTGACATCATAGTCTAACTTGTTTTATTTCATACTGGTTTAAAGTTATAGAAAATCTTCTTGGGTAGCAATTAAAGAACCATACCAATGTTTTTGCATGTTTTATCCCATGCACCATAGATTAGATAATGTATACCATACACTACTACAGTACTGCTTCAAAGTATACCACAGTTTTTTCTCGCTGCCCCTGGTTTCCTTTCATTTCTGTACCATATGAAAATCATTTTTTTCAATCAATTGGAAGGTTGCTGTAATAAAGTAATAAAGTACATATGGTTTGTAATAAATTTCAGGGTCTGACAGACACAAAGATAGTCGGCAGCAGCTCACGGTTCAGCCCCATGTCTGTCCTACGGGTTCCCAGCCAAACAGACCTCAGTCAAGCCTATTCCCAGCATTCCCTGCACCGCAGCGTCAGTCAGCTGATTGACAGGAAGTCACTGATGATGGAGGAAGGAAGCTGGGATAACCCGCTGGGACAAGATTCTGGACTGGTGAGGACGGAAATAAGTTTATGTTAAATCAGTATGTGAAAATTGATTGAGCATAAGAAGCTAACTAAAGTCTGTACAGACGATGTTCATCATCATCATCGTCATCATCATCATCATCATCATCATCATCATCAACATTTACTGGTAACCCAGTAAAATAAACAACTTTTCCTGAAGAGTATCACTGGCGTTACCTCTGCTCTGTCTGGCCTTACAGTACGCACCGTAACTGTTGCAGGCCTTCTAAATACCTCACTGTGATCTCATGTGTTCTCTTTCAGTACGTGGAGGAAGATGAATTTGTGGATGCCATCAAGGCCTTAAGTTCTACGAAAAAGGAGCACGCCGTGTTCACTGACACTCATCTTTAAGACAAGATCCCTACATCAAATCAGGTATCACAGTTCAAATTCAAATTCAGTTCAAACCAACACAGTAAAACATGGCAGCTGGTATTCGGTCTAACAAATCTGGTCAGAATGGAAAAACATTTAGACAATTTAGTGCTTGAAAAATATGATTTAGGAAGTAAAAATTCTCTAATATTGTTCTTCCATTGTGAAATATTGTTCATCATTGATGTCTAATAATCACTGGGAACAGTGTTAACAATGTTTTAATAATGTTCAGATCCAAAGTTGTAAAAGAAAGCCAGACCCAGAAAACCTAAGGGAAGGCGAAGAATAATGGTTATTTTACTGCAGCATTCATCTTAAACTATATTGAAACAGGTGTTGTCTCCTCCTACCCCACTGCATGTGTGTCCCTGTTGGGACTAATAGTCACTTGTGTACAGGCAACATCCATGAATACAGTTCGAATACGGACCCAGGTTGTTGGTCAAAAAGCTGCAGTATCTTAGCTCCATAGCGTAAATGTGTCCACATCTGGATTGTAATGTAACCCTGCTCAGATTAAGAATTAGAACAGTCCTTAAATGACTTTTAACAAACTGACTGAATCTTCTGGGTGTATTATGGTCTCTGCTTGCCAACTGTTTGTAGTTTAGCAGGTTTGCTTTTCACGATCCGGAATCAAACCAGTGTAGAAATCAATTAAAGTCCAAGGTTTCAGTCGCCTGCTTTAACAAGTAATTGTGCCGAGTAAGCTTACACCTTATCAGCAGCAATAGTCCTTTATTTGTAGTAATAAACATGGCCTTGGTGTTTGTTTTATGAAAAAAAATGCCAACTGTTTTTTTGTTTTTTTGTTTTTTTGATGTGTGTTAAATGTGGCTGGGAATTACAGATGTGCCGTCTGAATGTTGTGATTATGTGATGTAACTTGAAAGCCCAATGTGAGATTCTTTTTTTACCGTATCAGTCGTGGACATACAGTTTACTGCAATTTAAATGTAGAAGGGACGTAATGAAATCAAGCTTTGTTCAGCTGTAGTGACGCTGAATGTCTGGTTCTGATTTCATAGCTGTCAGTGGGATTCAGACTCAATGTTGTTTGTGTGTGGCCTAATTTTTATTGTATCAAGAAGGAATGAAAAAATCTCTGTAATGTCCTGTTTCAGTGTTTTAGCAGGAATGAAACATTGTTTATATTGGGATTCCACAGATTGGGCTTTTAATTTTTAGGGGCTAAACATCAAAGAAACAGTATTTATCAGAACAAGATTTCTGTGTAATGTTGATGGGTTTTTGTGCACAAAATTGAAGCCCCCTGTATTGTTATAAAACCTTTTCTTTTTTACACTGGCAGTATTACTTATGGTTGTTGTATTAAAAAAAAGTCTTATTTATAGATGACTTCCTTGATCAATGTTTGTGTTTTTCTGGGAAATTATAAATAATGATAAAGAAAATATTCTTTCCTGTATTCTTACTTTTTCTTTACTTGAAACGTATTTGAATTATGAACACATCTGTTATAAATTCCTATATTTGCAGACATTCTCATTCATTTTCTGTTGCCTATAAAGTTATCCAAGAATCACACACCTCTAGTACCTACATCTACGAATCTTCAAGGTTAAATTTCATGACAAGGATCCTTTCATCATGTTATTTCTAGCATAGTGTTTATAGATTTATGCAACATTTATTTTCCACTTTCTTTTAAAGAACAAAAATGAGGGGAGCGTTCCTGTGAAAAATAAATTAAACACAGCTTGTAGCCCTTTAATGTTGCTTTACTCCATGGAGAACAGAGGAGATGTCAGTATTAGACACACAAACTTACCGATTCCATGTTCAATGTAATATCAGTGTATGAGGACATAAAAGCGCTGTAGGACATGAATATTTGTTCCATGGTGATGTTAATGGTGTGCCTCAGTTTAAATAAAAACTTGGAGATATACAATTACGAAAGCAAAATACTGTGTGTGTGTGTGTGTGTGTGTGTGTGTGTGAGGAACACACTTAGGGCCACAACTGAGATATATTTAATGCTACTAGATGCTACATCATAAAGTTGTTTCTCATAGAGACTCAGGCTGGTCATGGTGATCTAGCTGAAGATAAAACGCCATTTCAGTCCGTTTCTGCTGAGTTGGTAAAACACAGTTGTGCTATCAGCTGTACGGAGATGTAGTTACCACACAAACACACAGAGTGGCTGTATCTCCATCAAAACCATGCAGCAGTAATTTAGTTTTGCTCCTGCGTCCCTTAAGGGAACATCAAGGCAAGTTTGAAATTAACAAAGTGGCAGTAACAACCATGCCCTCACTCAAGGACACCAGTCTGACAAGGGCACTTCTAAAACATTCACAGCCACATTCACAGCTATTGTCAGCCACGGAGGGAGGGAGAGGTTGTGAAAAGAGAGCTTGTGGAGTGATTGTAAGGGACAGTATGGCCCTGAGCTACACACACACACAGGGTTTTATTAAACTCATAAATCACGATGACGACAGACGGCGTCTCAGAGAGAGGAGACTGTCTGAACGGGAAGGTTAGTGAAATGAAGCGCTGGGGAGACACATACACACATACACACCTCTGTGACGCTCAAACAAAACAAAAATTGTGCACTCTGGCTGGTTATCCACACAAACTGAGTGCTAAAGAATCAGCAGTGACTGACAGCATTTGTTTCAGCCTGATTTCCCCTCTTACTGAGTCTAGTTCTAAAGGTCAAAATTTAAACTTGAACTACTATAAAATCAATTACCATGAGCACTGATGGTTTGTTTGGTTTCTTTTCACATCCCAAATATTTTTGATGACATTTTCCTGGAAGTCCAGAGTGAAGTTAATGGTCCTGGAACAATCATGTTTCAGCTTTGGACTAATACAAATTTGAATGATCTGAATGTTTGCTGTCTTCTTCAGAATGGAAAAATGACAATACAACTTTATTTCATCACTGTGCATTAACATCTTAATCTTATGAGAGTTCAAGAAAGTAAAAATGTCCAGTTCTGAGAGTTTTAGTGAACACAGTTGTAGTTTAAAATGCACGAACACTGAGACTCTGAAAGTTCAATGTCAACATTATATTTGATCATGGGTCAGTACTGTAGGCAACTGTAAATAATATTACAACATAATGCAACACTTTAAAACATACACAATGTAAAACAGTGACATACAGATAGGTCTTCATTTTAGCTCACTAGAATCTGGCTGTAATAAAATGTAAACATAGCCAGAGAGGAACTGAGGAACAACAGATAAGGACAGACAAACAGTTATGTGCAGAAATACCCATTAAACTATATAGTTTGTTTTCATATGTAAAATAAACACTAGCAAGTTACTTTTAATATTAGTCTTAATAGTGCAAGTGCAAATGCAGTTAGGTCCAAAGCATGGTGATATCAATATAGGCATTATATGATTATCAACAATATGTAAAGAACAACAGTGTAAGTATCAACACACATCAATGCATCCATTATTAGGATTTTGTTTTGAATATGTATGTCTGTTTCCATACAGTAAATGAGTGTATCAAAATGTACATCTTTGTACAAGCAGGGACCACGCGGTCAGTTCATCTTTTAAAATTAAAATGATAAGCAAAGTGCTAAACACTACTTCAAAAGAGGTTATATAGCTGCTGGATTTGGCAAAGTATAAATAACATTTCAGGATAGTTTTTCTCGTTATTTTTACCGTCACCAATTTTTACAGTTGTCCCCACAATGCTTATAAAAAAAGTACCGTAGATCAAGAGCTGGGCTGGTTTCTTTAACTTATCCCAAACAAACAGCTAGTGGAAATCTCACAGGGGATCTGATGGGTCGAACGGTAAATAATAAACAAGTTCAACTAATTAAGGTTGCTGCCATTTTTGAGCTGTCCTTTTAGGCCTTCACAACTATATCAGAACCAAGGTGCATTGTTTCCTACAGAGCATGAGTTGGTTCTCCTCAAACTACAAAGAACAAGCTACAGATTTTAAAAAAAATCCCCAGGTGTTGGGAGGAAGGATGGAATTTCCAGTTTTAATCTACGTCAAGATTATTTACAGTTTACAATAGATGCTGATAATTTAATATGTAATGCCTATCAATTCAAGTGACCATTAATGAAATCTAATTTGGCCTGATGTAAATGTGTCGTGAGGCAATTCCAGCCACAGCCAAGAGTGGACAGGTCCGTTATGGGGCTCAAAAATGAGCTCAGTCTTCACAAGCCTTTGGTCAGAATCCTTTTCAATGAAAACACACAAACAGGCTGATAACCGTCAAACGAGTTAAATAAGGCACTGCAACAGTCATCCAAAACAAGACACATTAAAATCTGTTTCAAAGGGAGTAAAGTGATGTAGTGTAGGTCCTTTTGAGTTCTGAGTTGAGTGTAGTTAAATTGTGATATTGTAAAAAAATAAAATATAAATAATAGTAATAGTTAGTGTGATCTCGCACAGGCACCACTGCTTTTTCTAACTGTGTGAACTGTCTTTGTTTAGACATCAAGGTCATAAAGGTCCTTATACTGTATATACCACAAAGCACTAAAAACAGATTTCTGTATAAATGTCGCTGAAGTTGATTCCATTACTGCGTGAATGTGATCTTCAATCTCCGAAATAAATTAAAACACTGACTGAAAGGCTCCAGCTGTGTGCCGCTAATTCGTATTCAAACTCACATTAACAGATGTTTCATGCAAATGGTTCGCCGTGGCAGGAAAAGCACAGTTGTAATTGATAATGATTGCATTCCATATAGGTGAGCTAGTTCCAGGGTCCTGGTATTGTGCATGCTGGCTCACTGTCATGGCTTACTGGGGCACTTGATGTAACTGGGCCATCACATTCACCTGTGCCTTTCCTGCAAGTCAAACTGTCTGCTGTGAAAAAGGCCAATACACTGCTTGTCACATGTTGCGCAGGACAGTTTCCATTTTTTTTTGCCTTTGTTGAAGAGCAAGGAGGCTTTTATGCTACCGTTAGTACAATGATAATAATGCAGTTTGCCTGTCCTGAAGCCTTGTTAGCCGCGTTAGTTTGGAAGTTCTGCATCTTAACTCCACTGTTGCATAGTTGTCATTGAGCCGTCAAACAACAACCCCAGGAAGGTTTTACTGCATTGCTGGAGCTGCAAAATGACTTTACTGCTTGCTGACTGTTGGCTTTTAGTGTCAAACAATAACCGTTGTGTCTCTGGCTGCAGCATTAGGATTCAAGTAGCTGCCAAGATTCTAGCTAGGGTAACATGTTTAATGTAAGTTTAAGTAAAAATTCACTAAACGACGAATTACACATACTGTCAGAGACACTTGACATCATCACGAGTTCTGTCTTCCTAAGGGGGCCTGATCTTTTTGATAAATCTATATGGAACTAGTGCTCAAACTATTAGTTTGTTTGGATAATCACCCAAAATATAATGGACAAAAATTTTAACTGTGCTGGCTCAGCTTCACAAATGTAAGGAGTTGCTATTTTTTCTGTTTTCTATCTTTGTAAAATTTTATATTTTTTTGTGAAACTTGAAGTTAGTCTCAAGTTTCTAAAATTTTACATTTTGTTCCAAAGCAGATGTTTCGTGTAAGCTTAAATAATTTAGGTCTGATTTTGAACAAAGTCATTCCCACCAGACTACAGGTCAAAAAAACACTTCTGATAAAAATTGAAGCTGTGCCTTTGTTAATTCAATTAGCTGTTTAAGGTTCTCAGAAGATAAAGCACTCCCTGGATAGTGTTTCTATTCGATTACTAGTACTGTGCTTTTTTGCTTGATTTTTTTTTTTGTGATGAACCTTGATGAGTTACTGATTCAATCTCCAAATCAGTGGCCAAAAGCTTGTGCTTCCACCAGACAGGCAGCAACGACACGCCTTTTCCTGGCCAAACAGACGTTTGCATGCTCCTGTAGTTACTGTATGTTTGTTAAGATGTAGAATGAACAACTTCAACACAGTGAGAGAAACCAATTTCAGCAGTTCTCCAGGATGATCTGAACAGCCATACTGCCATCCGATTTATGCCTCAAAGTACCACCCTCACTATCTGTTAAGACAACCCGAAGCAAACTGAGATAGTATGTGTGATAGAAGGTAAAATCTTAAAAAACAATTCAAAAACAAAATGCATTCCTGCCCTGGTTGATGAGATGGCATGCTGTCAGCATTTGGATGTTATGACTGCTTCTTGATGTCAGATTGTGTCGTTGAAAGTATGACACCAATGTTTGGATTCCACTAAGTTAAATTAAAAAAAAGATTTAAATAAAAGTTTTTCAGCGTATGGAGCAAACTGAGTTAAGAAGACTCATCCTGAGACATAGACTCATTCAAACATGTTAGCATCTTGTGTGTGAGTCCCCACAGAAGAAGGTCCTTTATCCAGTTACATCATGAGCCATCAAAAAAAACAACAACAAAAGAATAAAAACAAACGTTGTTAGGGTGGGGTGAAAAGTGGAGTATAAGCAATTGAAGTAGTTTCCTGTAGCTCAAGCCACATTCCTTCTCCACTGAGATATCCAGGCCTCATCTCCCACATGCACCTACAGGAAGCCTCCACAAGATGACTCCTCTGATTAGGGTGAAGAAAAGAAAAGGCTGGTGGACACATGGTGTGTCACAGGCTGCTGTCCTGATTGGACAGCTCAGGGGCCAGCTTCCTGTGTCGCGGTGATGTGGAGGAAGCAAGTTTAGTTGGGGAGGGGGAGGCGTTGGAAGATGAGTCGCTGCCACCGCCATCAGATCCAGAGGGGAGGGAGGAGAGGTGGGGCACTGGGGGAGCCCTCTTCCTCCCCAGAAAGCCTCCTTCTAGTACTCCCCTCTTCCTAACACCTCCCTCCGCCTTCGCGCCGTCTCCCCCTGATCCCTCTCCCTCCTCTGGTTGTGGGTGCACCTTTCGCCTGACGTCGCCTCCAGGAATCGGGCTGTCGGGAGGTTGCCGTGGAAACTCTTGATTGCCTTCTGCCTTCACCCCGGAAACGCCAGCTGTCATCATAGCCCCGATATTATTTGTAGAGCTTGAACCGGCTGTTCGGCAAGCCCAGAACTCCATAGCTGTGGCTCTCCTCTCACTGTCCTCAGGCCCAAAGTCACAGAGTGAACGGCGGGCGTCAGCGGTCTGGCCGGGGCCCTGTGTGGACGTCTGACCTGTGCTGTCCAGGATACCTCGACTCAGGCTGAAGTTCTGGAAGTCTCTACAAACAGATAGATGGATGGAGTCAGTTACAGGTGGAAAGATAAACGAACAAAATGCAGACAGAGACAAATTTTCCAACACAATCAGATTATTGTATACTGTATTTTAAAACTAGGAGTCCTGACTCCTGGTTTGGGATTGATCTATCTGCATCTGCATAATGTATCTGTACAGTGAGACAAACATTATTTTACCGGTAGCTATGGAAGGACTCTGTTCGTCTGGCACGGGCCAGCAGGGGGCTCTCTCTGTAGGGTCGCACAGCTCCATAAGTAGCCTGGCTCTCAGGAATGGGCTCTGGGGCCTGTAACTGCAGACTGAAAGACATGAAGGTGAATGAAACAGGTAAGATTATCTTATTTATTGGGATTACGGTATTGACACAAACATAAATGTATGTACGGATGTATCTGTAGTGACAGAGTTAGGAAGGTGAAATGTTGGCCATAGTTGATTGCTTCCTTATTTTGCATGTGTGTCCATCTGTTTGCCTTTAATGTGTTGTGTGTGAATGTTCTCTCTAACCTCGAGCAGGACTCTCTGAGGCGTGTGTGGTGCAGCACAGATGGGGCAGGGCTAATATTTGGTGTAGCACAGCGGGAGGTGCTCAGGTCGCATTGGTCCAACAGCTGCAGCAGCTCCTCTTCTGTAGGCCCACCTACATCTATCAAACACACACAGTATTTCATCAAAACAAACTATTACATTTAATCATAGAATCAGTCTATTCAGAATATTTAATGTTTTTTCTAGGTTATTAAATGCAGCCATAGACATTCTTGCTTTCAGTCCTGTTGTTTTTCATCACTTCTCCCATTAACACACTATCTCTCTCTCTCAACCTCCCCTCCTTCTTCCACTGATATTTCCTCACCTTCTCTCTTCTCCTCTCCTTTGTTAGCAGTGTCCATTGCAGTGGTCAGGTCCCACATCTGGATGCTGCCGTTGCCATGACCGGTGAATAGATAGCGCCGAGGTCGCGACCCCATCCGACTCGAACCCTCACACTCCCGTACCATGAAGCAAGAGATGGTGGTCCCGTCCACTGACTGCACTTCACAGATCCTTACAAGCGCGCCACACACACACACACACACACACACACACACACACACACACACACACACACACACTCTAACATGTTAGCATGCAAATAGACAGTACCAACAGCTTACAGATAAGTTGAATAGAAAGAAATTTAGTGACAATAAAAGACAGTTCCATAAAGGTCAGAGGAGCAAAAAGTGAAAGAGAAAGACAGGTTGAGAATATTCTACCTCTTTCCAGTAGATGACAGTCTCACAAACAGTTTGTTGGTGATGGGGATCACCTTCTGTATGAAAACCTGCTGATCGTCTCTCTCTCCAAATGGACCTAAGAGCAGAAAACACTTAGTCTCTACCTGCACATCAAACATTTAGTAGAACACAAAACTAGGGTGCTTGACCATTTTGAAAATAATTATTAATACTCGATTTGTCCTCTTTTGCAAGTGATGTGTGCATGATTGTGGCTCTTTCAGGCAATGAACCAGCTCTTTGATCAAGTTACAGTTAAAAACGCAGATAGGGAGAACAGCTGGAAACACACATATTCAAATCTGCACATAGTGTACCTGCTATCTACAGAATTTGAATGCAAAACTAAGATCTAACCGTTAAATGTCACTCCCAAACCTGTTTGTCTGTTCCAAGCACAGTATCAGACAACACCAGTTCTCCACTATAATTATAACTGCATCCATCCTTCACATAAATCTTTCAGTTTTCTTCAGATTCTTTGCATCTTCTCTTCTTTACCCACCTATATCATTCCCAGAGCAGTAGCTCCCGTGGCTCTCTGTCTCCTCCAGGGACAGTATTTTGAAGGAAGCCAGTGGAGTGGAGCCTGGCTGGGTGGAGATCATCCCTCTGAACCGGGTCACTGTCCACGTCCGAACGTGGTTGTTGTCCGCACACACTAACACACACAGAACAAAAACAACCACAAACAACCACATCATTTTTCCATCACAGGTATACACCCAGGTGCGTAACAGAGAACACAATGAACAAGAGATTATTAGAATGTGTCAACAGTCTGCACATGTGCCATTGTCTAGTATATTCCTCCATTACCGAGTTCCCTCTATCAGCAGGGAAACTGTCTGTTTAACCCCTCCTGCATGTTACACCTTCCTCACCTGATACCAGATGTTTCTCAGACAGCATAATCTTTGTCACTGGGCTTCTGTGCACTGTGAAGGTCTGAAAGAGCTGGGGACCCGATCCCACTGTCTCCGGGTGTTGCACGATCACTCTGACCGCACCGCTGCTAGTCCCGTAGGCTATCTCTATCCAGTTCCCACTCACACCTGAGAGCACAGAGAGGACAGAACGTTTTAATACAGGTTAGTAACTGTGATTTATGTTACATCCAAAAACGGCCTGTTTATATCCCAGGAGGTGAAACTGAGGGAGGGAAACAAGAGGTGGTGTATTTTTAAGTCAATTTTCTTTTTTAGAGGAGAAAAATAAGCATGGAGAAAAAAAACTGCACTGACTGGTCTTAGGCGTGAGGTAGACAGACAGCGCAGTGATGGCATCATTTGAAGGGTCGTGATAAAGCTCTGTCACTAGAAGATCATTATCCTTCATCCTCAGTGGAAACTTTTGCATGTCTGAAATGAACAAGACAAAATATGAATGTGCTGAAGTTTGACAGGTTTGATTTTTATTAAATCTAGATACAGTATTCAATCCCCTTATTGACTCACAATCCTTTAGATAATCTATGAAAAGGCTGTCATTTGTTGTACCATATCACTTTCTTGTAAAGAACAAAACACATCCAGTAAACTGAGTGACAGACAGAAGCTAACTCTGGGTGTATGCATGTGTTTGTGTGTATAAATGCGTGTACCTATGTAGTAGATAGATCCATTGTTACAGCCCAGTAGTAGGAAGGATCCTGCTGTGTCACAACTGGTAATAGGAACCACGTCTTGAACCTAACACACACACACAAAAACGTGATCTCACGGTACAGTGTTTGAAAGCGCTGCACGTTCAATAAAGTCAAATACAAGCACACAGTATACAAACATCTGCTGATGTTCGCTCACTTAGTAAAACACACACATGGAAGAGAAACACACACTCACATGCCCCTCCTACCTGCCAGTGCTGTGTGACGGCATTCCACACCCCAACCTTCCCTGTATGGCTTGTAGCCACCAGCTGGTTCCCGATGAAGAAGAGATCATCAACAGGTACACCGAGACTGAATACACCTGTGGTGGTGGGGAGAGATAAGAGTTAGTGTACATTTGTAGCCAGGGGTAAAGTAGGTGGAGGGTGAAGGCCAAGTCACAGAGACTGCATAAAATAACATAATAATTATGAAATAACGTGCATAAAAGAAAATAATAATTCAAGGCACATCACTCCTTGCCACCTTGTTGTCGTTATATCCAGTTTAGATACTTCTTGTGTGTGCATACCAGTGACTGAAGCCATGATGTGAAGTTGGAGGATTTTTTTGTGCCTCTGACCTATATATTTAATTCCCTTTCCCTAGTGCAATTAATGTGTGAAATATGTTTTAAAATAAATGTTTCTGGTTTAAGTGGCATTATTCTGTACAGATTTAGAGAGCTCTTCCTGATTCTCCTGTACGGTCGGTAGGAAGCATGCAGTAATTATCTCTTTACCTATCTCATTGCCGCTGCCTCCATCTTGGATGCTCCAGAGGATGATACTGCTTTCAGAGGCGGCGGCCACCATCTTGTCCTTGTCTCCATGCGGGCCGCCAACCACCTTGGCGTTAAGCGCGATGCGTTCAATGGTCCAGTCAAGGTAGGGGGAGGAAAACACCTGCTGCCATCCAGAAGATTCCTTTATCCTGTAACAAGAGCACACATGAGCAAACATTTCCCTCTGCTTTTATTCTTACTCAAAGGATCAACAGTGTTTCATAACTGAAATGATAAGGACAGTTTATCAAAGAGGAGGAATGCTTTTATAACTTTTTTCATCCTATCCGTGTCAAAGTCCTATGAGCCTTCATACGGTTGTGGACAACACACACTGACATGTGACCTGACCAAGTTGACACCTTTGTTTACTTCTATATATTTGCCCTTTATCAATTCCACTTAGATTTTTTCAGGCTTTTTCCGTTATAGATATTGAGCCAAAGATGACACCTTTTGTACTGGTACAGGTATAAGAACATTTAGTGAGAAATATGAGACACAACAGATAATGACTCCATCTTCATTAATAATTTAACGTCTCCCTGTTACGAACTATAGAGTGGATGGTAAATGTTTTAACCAATCACGTTGTGGCAGTATTACCTATAGCAGATGACAAAATGTGCATAAGCTGCTACAATCCAGTTGTGGTGTCCCGTTATAATCAGCACCTTCCTGGGGTCAACCACAGGACCTACACAAACAAACAAACACACACACATGAAATACAAATAAACACACTACTTTCATAGCCTGATAATCTGACTGAATTTCCATTTTGTTTTAACTTCACTTTTGTCATTATCCGAACTGCTGAATGAAATAGAAATGAAGGCAGTGATTCAAATGTCAATTTAATTTCAAATTATTGCATGATATAAAACTCCAATCCCAAATTCCTCCAATCCCAAATTCTTCTCCATCAGTCCAGAGCACAGACACTCTTTGTTTACTGTAGCTCACTATATTGTCTGATGTTATCCTCAACAGAGAGTAGGCCGATGTGAAAGTAGGCTACCTCAGTCAGCGCACTAAAAGGATGTGTCAGGTCACATTAGCTCCAGCATTAATGCACACGCACAGAAACACAAGCACACACAGATGTGGAAGAGCATAAACAGTAAATCTACTATATTCTCTCTCTCTCTCTCTCTCTCCCCCTCTCTCTCTCTCTCTCTCTCTCTCTCTCTCTCTCTCTCTCTCTCTCTCTCTCTCTCTCTCTCTCTCTCTCTCTCTCTCTCTCTCTCTCTCAGCTTTATTGGCATGAGTGTAAAACAAAAATATTGCCAAAGTTACAAATAAGTTACATAATAAGAACAATTTCATACATTTCATTAAATAAGTAAATAAAACAGTAAAAGTTGTTTGTGTGTGTTAATAAAAAGTAAAATAATAATAATAATAATTTTTAAAAAAACAACAACTAAAAAAAAAATTATTTTATATATTTATCCATCTGAGTTTCCACTGGTTGTCCTCAGTTTGTGGCATGAGGAGACATATTTTGCTGCAATTATTGGACATTTGGGCATTTCTCCCAGTAAATAGGGGAGTTTCTGTGTGTCTGATATAAATTCGAAATCGGGGTATATTTGGGAAATGTTTGCGAAGTGTTTTTCTCTTAAGGTTTTATATTTAGGGCATGAGGTTAGAAAGTGCAGCTCTGTCTCTACCTGTCCTCTGTCACACTGGGAGCACAGTCTCCCCTCTTCTGGTAGCCAGTTCTGTCTGTCTGAGGCTGTGCTCACTCAGTCTGTACATTGTCAACATTTTTCTTAGTTTAGGACATTTTATTGTGCTCAGGTAATTTGCCAGTATGAATTCTTCAACATTGTAATTTACTTTATGTTCTGGTCGTTTCTTTCTAGTATTCAATATATTTTTTTCCTTTTTGCTTGTTGATAATTGGGTTTGGTCTGAATGAGTTGGTGTTGCTGTCCTGAGGCTGTTGGGGACATGTTACTGCAGAGAGCCTCAGGACCAGCTGGCTGAGGGGACTGTTCTCTGGTTTCAGCTCCTGGTATGTTAGGGCTTTGTGATGGTATGTCTGGGGGTTAACGGATTTTAAGTGATTGTAAAATTTAATTGATCTTTTCTGTATTTTTAGTAGGATGGGGTATTGGCCGAGCTCTGCTCTGCACAGATTATTTGGTGTTTTTCTCTGCACCTGCAGGATGCTCTTACAGAACTCGGTGTGGAAAGATTCTATGATTGTTTTGTCCCATTTATCAAATTCATTATTAGGGACCGAGCACTAACAAGTTCAAGGACCCTATTGTTCCTCTAGGAATTATTATTATACCTCTGGGACTTCGACCGCATATTTGGCCCCCGCAACATGCTCAAAATGCCATGAAAATTTGCACAAAATTCAAACGTAGCTAAAATACCGATATGACATTGTCCCCGTGCACGGGCGCCGCCAAATGTCTAAGTCATTTTGACTTTTTGGGCTTGTATTTGAACGAACTCCTCCTAGGGAATTTATCGGATCTGCTTCAAAATTGGTCAGTGCAGTCAAAACATGGTGCTGAATGAACGCTGTTCATTTTTTGACTGTACGTTGAAGGGCGTGTCCGTGGCGTGCCGTCAAAGTTGGCCATTTTGAACGAATGTCACACTGTGATGTCATTTTTGGCATTTCAGGGCTTCTATTTTAACTAACTCCTCCTACAGGTTCTACTGGATGAACTTCAAAATTGGTCAGTGCAGTCAGTTTTTTTCGTCCAACATTGTGCCCGTGGCGTGGCGTCCCGTGGCATCCAATTTCAAACCTTCGCCATAAAAGAGGGATTCGTCATAACTTCTGCGTACATGATCCGACTGCAACGAAACTTCACATGTTCGATAAGAGTCCCGCCCTGAACACGTCAATGTGATAATGTTCGGTAATTGTCAGAGCGCCACCTAAAATAAAATGCAAAACACATTGTTGATTATATGTGATGACTGCGGTGAGGGGGCGTGTCTGTAGCGTGGCGGGAAATTTTGATGTACCGACCACAAAACACGAATTTGCTATAACTTGAGTGTACATTGTCCAATCAGCTCCAAACTTCACATGTCTGATAAGAGTCCCGCCCTGAACACGTGTATGTGATAATATTCAGTAAAAGTGCGAGCGCCACCTAGTGGTGAAAGGAAATGTCATTTTTATATACTTCCATGTTCTACTCCTAGTAGGATGATCAGATCAAGCTGAAATCTAGTCAGAAAATGGAAAACATGTTCTTAATGATATTTCTTGATTGTGGTGAGTTTTTGTTACAGGGCGTGTCCGTGGTTTGTCCCTCAGAGACTTTCACAGCCATGTTGAGGTTTCCTGTGTATGTAATGTTGAGGCCACGGTAAGTGTAGTTTTTTGTATGTTGTAATTTAGTGGTGTCTAAACAGAAATTGTGTGTAACCTGATTTCTGTATTGTTTCTGAAAGATCATTATCTTAGTCTTTGCTGTGTTTACTGTCAGGGCCAAGGTCTGACAAAATCTCTGCAGGAGATTAAGGTGCTGCTGCAAACCTCCTTTAGTAGGTGAAAGCAACACTAAGTCATCTGCATATAGCAGACCTCTGATCCCTGTGTCGTTCAGGGTGAGGCCAGGTGCCGTGGAACGCTCTAGTTGGTTCGCTAATTCACTGATATATAGATTGAAGAGAATTGGACTGAGATTGCATCCCTGCCTCACTCCCCGGCCCTGGGAGAAGAACGCTGTTTGTTTGTTTCCAATCTTTACGGCACATTCACTTTTTGTATACATGTTCTTAATCAGATCATATGTTTTTCCTCCAATGCCACTTTCAAGTAGCCTATAGAAAAGGCCCTCATGCCAGATGGAATCAAAGGCTTTTTTGAAGTCAACGAAACAGGCATATACCTTTCTTTTCTCTACCAGGGTGACTGTCAAAATAACAGTCATTGATACATTTGCTGCTTGCTTTTTTATGCTAAGATAAGATGAAACTTATATAGAGATGGATTACTCACCCAGTTTGTGGTTGTCATCTGTTCCAGGTGGGCCAGAGAGGGAAGGGTGAGGAGGGGGACCAACGCGGGTGAAGCCCTCTGCTCCACCTGGACCCGGCCGCTCATCAGAGGAGGAGCCAGTGGCTGCTGAGGCAGGGCTCAACTTGCGGGCAGGGATGGCTGTCAAGCAAAGATACACCAAGATGAATAACTATAATTTGGATTTAGTCATTTAGCAACTGCTTTTGGAACATCTGTACAATATTCTGTTCACGGTTAATTGGTTTTACTCTATTTTCAGTTCATTTTCTGTATTGCTCAGTTTCATATCTTTACCTGGGGGCGGCAGGTAACCATGGAAGAGAACACTTCCACACGATGAACGGTCCAGTTCCTCACAGAGCAGCAGGCGCCGTACTGCACACATGCACATACACAAACACAAGAATAAGTGACTAATTATTAATAGCTGCAAAATATGAAAAAATAAAAAATTTTATCTACTCATGACTATACATTGGCTCGTATAGTTTTTTCATTGACGCATATCATAATAGATCATCCTTTTGCTGTATGGTATTTCTTCATTTTGTGTTTTCTTTAGTCATTTTTACAAAGTTAATGAGAGATTTAACATTACTGATTAGATCGTGTCTTTGAAATGGAGCAATACACTTTAAATTGTATGTGATCACTTTGCTTTGTATCTTTGTATCATGTGCACTGCTGTGTATATTGTGATTTTAGGCAGGTTATCAGTTGTCACAAAGGTAACTTTCCCATTCAAGTAGATTAGACACTGCAGGGAAGTTACAAACACTGAAACAGGAAGTAAAACAACATTAAAGTACATGGAACTAACAGTAATGGGATTTGGACCTTGGTCAAGCTGTATTTGAAGCCAAAACCACATCTGACAATACAGGACAACATTTCCCTTTCCTTCTCTGCTGGTATGCAATACCAAAGACATGTAGAGACTGCTGACAAATCTTGTGACAAAAATGTATTAGCTACAGACAATACTTGATATACAGGCAGGTGCATTATGACATTTCCATAACGTCTATACGTGTCACTACTTGTGCTAAGAACAAAGCTGCTACTTCCATTTCCTACACAACCTCTGTACAGCAACATACCTAAAGGAGTAATCCCGTAAAACTCTGCTTCATGTCGCAGGATGCTGATGTTGACACCCCTACAGAGGAAAAACCAGCATAAGTATAGTGTAAGATCCTGGTCAACACAATGTCTTCATAAAATAAACATTTATGGATAATTTCCGAATAGAGTCGTGACTCCTTACCGCAAGTCCAACTCTTTGGTTCGGAGGAAATTTAAAATTGGGGCAAAAGCTGTAGGGTCTCTGTCGATAAATATCTGGAAGCAGAGGAACATATATTATGATGTAAAATGCAGGGCTTAATCGAGTGGTGTAAAAATATGTACATCAATACAACAGAGCAGGAACCGTACACAAAAATAGTGCTGAGATGATTAGGTGAATTAAAAGAAAATGAATTGACAACAATTTAGATAATCAGTAATAACTTAAGTTGCAAAGGACATCTGCATGTTCCAGCCCCGCAAACGTGAGAATTTGCTGCTTTTCTCTCTAAATGGAATAACTTTTCTAGTTTTGCCATGGGCTGTTTCACAACTTTGTGACAATTTACATCTTAACTGTCAATCAAAAATGATTGAATTATTCATCTGTAATGTAAATGTAGTCCTACACAAACCAGTACAAAACAGTGTCTCATCTAACAATAATTTGTTTGTGAGGATACACATAATCTTAGGGCAATGCGTCAGATTTCAGTAAGTTGCATCAGAACAGAACCAATTTCATGTCATGTCCTATCTGCTGGAAACTTTTAGAGAATTTTCAGATGTGGCCGGCAGATGCTGTCCTAGTTTTCAAATAAGACGCAACAAAGGCTATACTCACAGCTCCAGTTTCATCCCGAAGAGTGGATATCCTTCCACTCAGCAAACTGGAAAAACACACACACACACACACACACACACTTCTCCAGTTAACCCAAACCCTTCTTCTCCATTTCCACTTACCAGCGGTGTTACCACTACCTGAAGTAAACACAAATTATTTGCACGGTAAAAAATACTTGATTTTATACTACTACAGATTAGTGCTGCATCAGGATGTACTGCAAGTTTGTATGACAGATTATTTTATATGGACCGTACACTGCAGACAGTTGGGGGCAATGAGACTGACAGGCAGGCAGGCAGACAGGTGTACTGGCAGACAGACTGACTACTTGGTCAGCTGTTGTCAAACTACGAGCTCAGTCCAGTGTTTGGGCTTGTTACGACTGGTATTTTCCCAGCCCCAATCAGCTGTTTCCCTTCAACAGCGGGTTCCCCTCTAGAGCAGGAATCACACCTAAATAACTCACTCAAAACATGTGCTCACATAAGCTCAAACATACATACTCCATATTGTAATGGATGGCATTTCCCCCCTTGCAATCTACGGTATATCTCCTGCCTGTTTACAACTCTAGTGTGCTAATGTCACTCTATATGTATATATGTTTTTGTTCTTTACCCATCTTTAAAGTGCATGCCCTGTGTTGTTTTTGCTTTGCTGTATCTTAGGAAGCTTTTAGCACATTGGCATTGAAAAAATGACTTTTTGGCTAATTCAACAATTTGCATTTGACTGTCACAGTGTTCACATTGAATATTGGATGAATATAAAACCAGAGGTTTGCCTCATTAAAATAAAAAACATTTACATTTATAAAAGTGACGCAGCTGAGTTGATCTTCTACTTAATTGTAATCTCCTGATATTTCCCATCACCAGAATGGTAGAAGTATGAAGCAAGATGGAACATCCCTACTTAACATTAATTATGTAATATACATTTTTTGTCAAGTTGCAAATGCCCCATGACCGGATGACTTTGACCTGTTTCTGGTACTATTCCTATATGCAGCAGCAATAGTACTTGTACAGTTTATTAAGTCTAGTCTCAGGGGCAGTCTAGTGAAGGTATATTTAATTTCATGCTGGTCTGGGTCCCTGGTTTCAAATACTTCATGTACGTGTTATAACGCTCACTGTGGTTATGTAGAAACATTCAGTTCCATTTTTGCCATACACAGCCGAATCTTCTTCATAATATCTAACACTGCACTTAAAATAATTCAATTGATTCATCAGAGATCTAATCTAGTCGAGCTGCTAGATAACATTTCACAATTCAACCTGCATAGCATTCATGTGACTTGTCATTAGTTGTAGGACTAACACTTGCACAAACTCTCCAGATCAATTCCATGCACCATCAGCTTTTAAAGTCAAAATGCGGACATTTAACTAACCTTGAGAAGAAAGAGTCTGGGATCCACATCAGAGTCTGTCTGGAGGTGCTGAACCTAGAGTATAAAGACACAACAGTAGCACATTTATTACAAACACAGTGAAACATGTATAGGTCAGTGACACTTTATGAGCATGGAAATGGTGGATGGATCATTTGTTGACCAAGACGCATGTCATTCATGAAAACTTGTTGAAGAAATTCATCACTAAATCGCACCAATGTTATAATGCAGATGTATGAATATGTTCAATTTAAAACATCAAGAAACACCATAGTGTGTGTGTGTGTGTGTGTGTGTGTGTGTGTGTGTGTGTGTGTGTGTGTGCGCGCGCGCGCGAAAGGAAGAGAGTGTTAAAGTGAATGATGAAGAGTACTGATGAAGTACACAACCTTGAGTGGTGTTATCTACTTCAGCTACATCCATGGCTGCTTGGCCATGCAGATATCATCATACACGTACGTAGCCAGAGCTCAAATTTCCCAAATGATGACCATCATCTGTCGGGCTGTCCGGTTGGCGAAGCTTACCTTGTCCCACCGACGTTTAACTGGATGATATCTCCCATCCCAGGCGTTACATTGTTACCATTCGTAGCCATGATGACCTGAACTACGGGCTGTTGTACAGAAAAGTCACCGTTATCGCCGTTGCTGTCACGAAAGCTAGCTTGCTAACGCTCCTCTCCAGCTCTGCCGATGTCCCGACTCCCCAGCCTCACCACCTCTCCCTCGTCCCACCTTCCATAAAATATCCGCTATAAACGACCTATGCGGACGGCTTCGGTGTCGTTGAGCCTCCGCATAGTGGGCGAACACAGGAGTCTTTTTATCCAAAAGACAGACACAAGAAACCCTTTATCGTCCAGCGGCCAGTTTGCATCGTTGCCCTGTATGTAACTAAATCGTGGATGACATCTTGCGCAGAATATTAGCAACGTGAAACAGCTGTACAAACAGTCTACAAGCGAGGCGAGAGTGTTCACCTCCGACAACTTCCGCTTTCGCTTAAACCACGTAGATTGGATCCCTAATGTTAAACTGTTCTTTTCATGAAAAAGACGTATTTGGTAAAGCCAAATAGCATAACATGTATGGGTTTAATGAGTTACCGAAACTGGTATTTCAGATATGGACACACTTTTACATAGCTGTAGGCCCGTTCCCTCCTAATTAGCATTAAGGACGTGAACCATCTTGATGGGTCTTTGAGCTGCTCACCATCAGAACCAGTGCGCTTGATTTTAGTATTTATTTAAGTTTTATGAATATTGAGGCGGCAACTATGCTTAAAAGGTACATATAGTACATAAAACGACTCATCACAATAAATGTTGAACTAAATGTGGGTTGTTCTAAAGTCTTTATTCAGTATAAATGTATTAAATCTTGTAGCTGAAGAAGCGACACAAGCTGTATAATTTTGTTTTTAACGGTGCTGTGCTGGAGATAAAACAAACACACATTACGTTGGGAGACGTTATACATCGACTCCACGGACTAGGCTACTCTGATACAACATGAATTAAATAAAAGAACAACATAATTGTATCTCTTTATTATAGGTTATTGTTTAACGTTTTATTCATTGTAATATTTGTCATTAAAACCTCATGTGTTCTACTTATTTTAAAGGTCTAGTAACTCTACACCACTGCGTTTCCTGCGCGCAAACAAGCGCTCCCCAAGCGCTGCCCCGCCCCTCCCACTTCTGCTAAGAGGGACTTGAAAGCCAGCAACATATTTTATGACGAACTAGCATTTTTGTATAAAAGTGTCTCTTTTCACTGCTTCATCAGTATGTAACCCAAGGGTATTTATTCGGGGATAGTTTTCTGTTTCACGGTAAGATATTTATACATTGCTTCTTCACTTTCCGTGAGCGATTTGTTTATTTACCTTCCATTAGCTTGTTAGCCGGGGAAAAGTTAGCAAAGGAGTGGGAGGCTGAACTTCTCTAAGCTAACGTTGAACATTAGCAAGAGCCTTCAACAGCTAGCCAAGTTAGCTCGTTGGTTTGAGTGAGTTGTTCTTTTAGTGTCCTGTAACAGTAATGTTTGTTTGCCCCCGAGTCCAAGCGACCAGTAAAACATACGACATAATGCTAATTTCGTCTCTTATTAGTTAACTAACCCAGGTGTGAAAGTACGACGATACTTGTAACGTTATTGCCACAAGTAACAGTAGCTACCTGATCTCCCCCCGCCTCTCTAACGTTACATGTGTCATTTGTTTACACTCCTCTCTCCTTCAGCTCTACCGTGTTGAAAGCCAGGCCAGAGACCAACATGGATGTGTGACCAGCTCAAACAGAGAGAGGAGAAAGCAAGAAAGAGGCTTCCTATCACTTGTTGCAGCCCAGCAACTGGAGCTTAGGGAAGGAAAGCTAACAAGCAAACAAGTTGTGTCATGATGTCGGATCCACAGGGGAAAGGAGCTCCAAGTGAAGAGGGAAACATACCAGACGCCACAGCAGGACACATGTCCAGCAGTACTCAACAGGTACCAGTTGGGGCATCTGTGTCTTCCCCTGTGGCCTCCATACAGCCTCCTGCTACCACACCAACAGAGGATGAGGATGAGAGTGAAGATGAGTCAGAGATCCTGGAGGAGAGTCCCTGTGGTCGCTGGCAGAAGCGCAGAGAGGAGGTAATTAATTTCTTACATGCAGTGTGTCTCATGAAGTTGTCATGGCACACATCACTGCATCAGTAAACATTTTAAGTGACTTTTGACTTGTGAGTATGTGTACCAGAGTCATGAAACGCAGTCAGCTGGATTAACGGATCGCAATGTTACTGTGATGTAGATCTTTCCTTACTGTTATCATATCACTTTCTTCTAATTTAGAATAAATGTTCTGAATTTTGTCATATGCTAAATGTAGTTTTTATCAGTATCAAGATACTAAGTCAGTGATATTTTAACAAAAAGGATGATTGGTTCCCACAAATTAGTCTTTAGTGGATGATTACCTAAATTACCCCCCCCCGAGAAAAACAACAACTTTAGTTTATGTGATGTTAAGTATTTTATAAATCAAGCGCCTTGTCATTGTTCATAATGCAGAAGGCATGGTTAGCACATATAGCACATATATACTATAGCTATAAAAAATAACAAACAATAGAAAAGAGATGGAAAGAAACTGTTAAATGTTGAGAACACAAGATTGGAACGACAATCTGTTTATTTTTTGTGAGCTGTTTTTGTGTCTTTATTTCAGAGTCAAAAGTATTATCTCATAAGCTGTTTTCTGTTCACTGCCACTGTAGGTGAATCAGCGTAATGTCCCAGGGATAGATGCTGCATACCTGGCCATGGACACAGAGGAAGGAGTAGAGGTAGTGTGGAATGAAGTCATGATCTCAGAGAGGAAAAACTTCAAGCAGCTGGAGGTGAGGCCCGCTGTCACAGAACAGGAATGAAACAGCTGAAGATAGTCGCTTTGAGTGTTATGCACTGATTGTCACATAGTCTTGACTTGAGATGTAATTGTACAGATAAGTCGACATGGATTGGGACAGCAAACAAAACATGTTTTTCTCTGTCAACTCATCCAAGGGATGGTGAAGATTTCCCCCTCATAGTATAAAAAGGGGAAAAGATCACCTATAAAAGATCTTTATGTACCTCAGCACATATACACAAAACAAATCTATAAAGATCGATTGGGTAAAACTTATTTTACTATATTGCACACAAACTAGTAATGAGAATGAGGCAGAAAAACCAAGTTACTTCAAAGGAAAACATTTCTACCTTTTGTGGAAAATATTTTAAAAATGCTCCTCTCTTGTTACAAAGCAATTAGAGACTGTCCAAGCATAACTTGAGAATTTGTGTACAGTTTACTAGTGTCACATAATTTCTGGCATTGTCTATTATAGGGCTTCAAATAATGATCATTTTCATTTAAATTATTTCATTAATTGATTATTTTCTTGATTAATTGATTCAGTTATATCATATATGAGAAAGGAAAGCAGCAGATCTTCACATTTGAGAAGCTTAAACTACATAGTGTTTGAAATTTCTAATCACAACAATTACTTAATTATCAAAATAGTTGCTGGTTAATGTTCTTCTAATCAACTAATGGTTGCAGCTGTAGTGTAATATCACAAACCTAATGAGATTAAGGTTGCACTCCTTATGAGAGACAGTAATGATTCTTTATAGTTTGTTCAGATGAGTTTTAGACATATTACCCATCAGCTTAGGCACAGAGGTGATACTAAAAGCAAAATGTCTTTATATAAATCAGTGTTATAATGAATTATACTTTAACGTATTTTATTTCCCCTGTTTTTAGGAGAAAGTGAAGGCAGTATTTGATAACCTGATCCATTTGGAACATGCAAATATTGTCAAGTTTCACAAATACTGGGCCGACACAAAGGACAACCGGGCTAGGGTGAGTCTCAGACCTGGCAAAACATAACATCAGTTGCATAAGATGTAATTGGCAGCCTTAAAATTGCAGACATGGGATTATTATTGAATCATTTGTCTGTCTTCATAAGTAGAATCGTAATTTAAAAAAGATGTACATATGAAATACGTATAATGTCTTTATTATTTGTATTTGAATCGTGTCTGCCCACTAGGTTTCCCCTAATTTCTTCCTCTCCCTCAGGTGATTTTCATAACTGAATATATGTCATCAGGAAGCTTGAAGCAGTTTCTAAAGAAGACAAAGAAGAATCACAAAACCATGAATGAAAAGGTAATAACCGACTGTATGTAGATTAACGTTAATAGAATAATGGTATATGTAGATCTTGCTGTACGTGACCTACATATAATATGAAAAGTGAGAGCCCCTTTATCACAGCATGGATAAGTGGGGCTTTCCAAAGCAAGGACCATATCATAAACACATTTATTGGTGTTTGGCTGTTGGCAAAGGAAAGAATAGAAAGGATTTGCAAATATGCTGTGAACCAGTTTTATGCAAAGTTAAATCAGATTATGAAAGTCAAAGTTACTCTATATTGAAAACAAGCGAGTAAGAGCTCTGATAAGATGTATGGTCCTACAGGCTTGGAAGAGATGGTGCACACAGATCCTGTCTGCTCTCAGGTTGGTTTTCCCTTTTCAAACATTATGTTAAATTCAATGTGGTCACTCTAGAAAAAAATGCACTCACAGAAAACAATCCAATCCCTTTCTCATATAGTTTGTGTCTGTGGATGTTTTTTCCTTTCTTTACTGCAGTTATCTCCATTCTTGTGACCCTCCCATCCTCCATGGCAACCTGACCTGTGACACAATCTTCATCCAACACAACGGGCTCATCAAGATCGGATCAGGTATAGCGTTACACCGGTTTCATCTTAGACGGTTAAGTAGTGGAGCAGGAGTGCCGTTGATGGAGTCAAATGATACTGAATTATGGATTAAAGACTGGAAATTTCACATAATTGTACAGTAAATTTCCATGATTACACAGTACCAGTTTTATATGAACAAAAGTAACAATCTCATACGGCGCTTTCACTGAACAATCAACAATTCTCTTGTGACAAAAGTTGTGGTAATATGCCTTTACAGAAATAACCCTGCTCATTGTGAATGACTATAGTGTGTTATGTGGTTTAGAGAAAACCACTGTTGTGTGTACACATACTGCAATGACTCAAGCCACAAAAGCTTCTTTGAACTTTCTTCCTTCATATAAAGAATAGCTTCCAAACTCTCAACATCTTACACTATAGATTACACAATGTAAAGGTAATTTTGATATTTCTTTTTTTCCCCTACCTCTTGTTTCTCCCTGTATCACATACTTTCTTCTATTTCCTCTGTCGGTATATTTCTTCTTCCTGCGTCATACTCACTTCTCTCACTGTTCTCTGTCTCCCTTCCATATTCTCCCCTCCTTTTTCATCTGCAGTTGCCCCAGACACCATCAACAACCATGTGAAGACGTGTCATGAGGAACAGAAGAACATGCACTTCTTTGCCCCTGAATATGGAGGTAGACATACAATGACTCTTATTTCTGATATTTCTGATATTGAGAGTTTCCTGACATCCAGAGTAAACTGGATTATACAGATATATTGGAAAGATGTGAGAAGACACATTAATGTTTACAAAACACAATAGAATTAGGGAATGGTAAAAATTTGTTCACTTCCATAGTTGTATAAATATGTTGTATGAATATGTTTCTCTATTAAGCCATTTTTTTATTTAACGTAATATGGACTTCTTAGTTGTTGAATGCCAAGTAATGGTAAGCTATGATATAAAATCTGTATGTGTGTTTTTAATTATTTTTTTGCATATTGTAGCTGTTGATGATGTCACCACGGCTGTAGACATCTACTCATTTGGCATGTGTGCCTTAGAGGTGAGATGGGACCCATAATACATAAAAGAATGGCCCTCCCCCTCCCCTAAAGCAATGCGTTAACGGTGTTGTCTGTTGCAGATGGCGCTCTTGGAAATCCAGGGGAATGGAGAGTCCTCTTATGTTTCTCAGGAGGCCATCAACAATGCCATACAGTTACTGGAGGACCCACTGCAGAGGGTGAGATAAAGAGAGTGGACTAGGTGTTTGCATGTTTTGTGTGTGCAATAATGTGTCTTTGAAAGTCCCATTTGGGTATACAAGAGGTTTGTCCAGAAGTGTGTGACCCGGGTGTTTGTTTTTGTAGGAGTTAATCCAGAAGTGCCTCGAATGTGATCCCAGTACAAGACCTACAGCCCGAGAGCTGCTGTTTAACCAGGCCCTGTTTGAAGTACCGCTGCTAAAACTGCTGGCTGCACATTGTATTGTCAGCCACCAACGTGAGTCTTTTAAAAAAAATACTAAGACACAGAATAACAGTTTTATTAGTTTTGATTGGCTTTTAACAGACATAAAGTTGTATCAGAATGAAATGGTTAATAAGAAGATGACCAAATAATTGACTTGAGCTTGAGTTAAAACACGTAGGAAGTAGGTTTATAACATATTTGCCACAACAACTTTATAAAGCAACTATATTGTATAATAATCATAATAATGTATTTGAGTCAGTGTTTTTTAGGTTGTGTAGTCCATGCTCCCAAGTGTCCAGAAGAATCAATGTTGATTATTTTTCTGCCACTGTTTTACATCCCTGACTTGATGACTGGTTGTTACATCAGAAATACACCCAAGTTCTCATTATAATACATTATTTTCACACAAAAACACATTTCAGTACTGGGATGTATACATACAAATTGCACTTAAAGTGGGATGTACTTTCTTTTCCTGCCTCTCACACATCATCCAGTGATACCACCAATGAGCAAATCTAACTTTAAGGGATTTATCAGCCAGTACCAACTAATCAATCTTCAATGGTTTGTAATTGTCCAGACATGATTCCTGAGAATGCCCTGGAGGAGATGACCAAGAACATGGACCCCAACCTGGTCATCGCTGAGATGACAGAGGACGTTCAGCTCAGGTAAGGACCAGAAGCTGGTATCCACATTTTAGTTGCAGTCAGCTAGATAAAGCATGAATATTAACAGTAGCATTTAGATACAATAATAATTCAATAATAACAGATACAAAAATAAACAATGTTTGAATTCCAGGGTTGTTTTTGTGTGGTAAAAGCATTAATGTTATTCCTTAATTAATTTTAAAAAGAAGATATTTTCATGAATATAATGGCAGACAAGTAAAAAATGATACCCAGAAATGTCCTACAGTTGTTCTTTTCTTGCATGTGTTAATCCTCAACGATCTTCTGAGTTTGTTCAAAACATTATATCACCTTATTTTAAATTCTGTGGTGTGTTTTTTTGAAATGTAAAATAATATGATTTTATTCCTTTTTTTTTTTGTTCTGTAGGCTTTCACAGTTTCCTGCCTTGGAGCTTGATAAATTCCTGGAGGATGTGAGGTAGGAAGCGAAGTAGTAAACAACAAAGATAAGACTATCTGACCACATGGGGGCACTATTGAACCATCTGACTATTGTGGTGCAGCTTCCATTGTCTTTTATAATATAATATCATCTAAATGTGGTATAATATCATCTAAATGTGGTATAATGCCCTCCTAAATCATATATCCTGGACTTAACAGATTCTGTGGTTAATTAAATGTAGTAAATTAAAAGATTTAGTTTTTCTGGCCACTCTGTTGTGAAGCTAATCATAGCCAAGGAGCTGAATTGGCCACAGGTAGACTGATAGTTATTGTCTAATGTGTCTCTTATGTTTACATTACATTTGTAATTAGCATATGAAATAAAAGGTCATTTTGAATTAAGGTTTAAACTATATGGCAAAAGAAACAGATGCTTAATTACATGAAAACTATGATGCTATAAGTTGCATATGCACATAAAACATCATATGGAAAAATGGAGATTTTGTTTTTAACATTTAATTTTCTCATCTCTTCTTTCATTTCTTACTTGCCCTACTTTCCCTCTCTCCCTCCCTCCCTGGAACAGGAATGGTATTTATCCCATGACGGCGTTCGGGCTGCCCTGTCCTCAGCAGCCTCAACAGGAGACTGTTAAATCTCCCATTGTCGTCCCCTTGGTCAAATCCCCCACCCCTGAACCTGCAGAACTCGAGACACGGCGGGTACGTACAATAAATTATACAGCATGTTACAAAAGGAAAATAAAATCACAATGGTGACATAGAAGATGTATACTAGATGTGTACTTGTTTACTACTAACACTAGTTGAGAACCATTCATATTTAGATTTTCATACTTCTTCTGCAGGTCATTCATATGCAGTGTAACTTTGAACCTGTCGAGGAGGGAGCAAAGTACCATGTAAGTCTCTGTAATAGTATTTATAGTTTTATTATTTACTGTTTAACTTATTCAGAAGGCAACATATCAGTTTCGCTCTTTGTCAGTTTTCGCTTGATCAGCAACATGATATTAATCAACAACCATTTGTTATGTTCCAGTCTAGCAAAAGTAAAAATACTAATTTTGTTTTGACGTTGTCTGTTTCTCTCCTTTTAGCTAACATTACTGCTGAAACTGGAGGATAAACTGAATAGACATCTAAGCTGTGACATGTTACCTCGTAAGACCACCTCTTCTATCTCTTCTAACATTTACCCACTCTGAGCTTAAAGATACAGTCACTAATTTTGCCATAGTGCACCCACATCCAGTTCAACCCAGTCAAGTTTTAATACATCAGAAGTGATCTGGGAGGTTGGATTTGGGAACAGTATTGGGTGCCAAAACAAAATGGGGGGAATATTTTTAAATATGAAGCAGTAACCATTGATCATTTGATGTTGTTGAAGGCATGTCCTGCGTAGGTGAGATTAAGGGAAGATAAGTAGATTAGAGGCCAATCTTCATACATGTGTCATCTAGTTTTGGCCCCATTCAAGGTGTGTGTGTGTGTGTGTGTGTGTGTGTGTAACAGCAGACAGTACTTGTCCTGTGGGATTTGGGAGTGCCATGTGTTTATGCATGCATGTTTGCATGTGTATTTTGTGTTGCACCTTTAGAGTTGGAAGGTTTTTATGAAGTCATTCTGTCCATCTGGACGGTTTAGGGTTAATGGTAAAATTACATTTGACTAGAGGTGATGATAAATGGTAAGGTTATGTATGTATGAAGTACTGTATAGCATAGTCCACTGTACTGTGTAGATTTTACCACACACAGAGTTTTAATACACAGCACCTCTCCTTATGTGTGCACTGAGGCATGTAGGAAAGTGAGAGTGAGATTCCAGAGAGAGCTTGAAACTCAGATGGCGTCACAATATACAGTATGCAGGACTATTTTAGGCAGGGAGACCGACTGTCGCTTATGTGTCATGAAAACCTTGCACAGCTCTATTTTGGACAAATTTATTTAGATTGTATTCTGACTTTCAAAACCCCAATAGTGATGAAATATGTTTAAAGCACTCATGAAAACAATGATTCTCCTTTCAGAATTTACTAACTTGAATTTATTTATTTGAAATTGAGGCTTTTCATCTCAGTGCTGTGCAGCAAATGAGAACACAACTGCAATGGTCAGAATAATGTAGGCAGTATGATCCAATCTGCACAAGCACAGGTATGGTAGGCATGTATAATGTTACGGGCATGTGGGGAATGCCTGGCCTGTGAAAGGCTACAGCTGACAGCTGTCACCTCCTGTGTCAACATCTGACCATCTCTTTCTAGGCTTTCATCTCCCTGTCTCTCATTGACATGCACACACAAACTCTCTCACACACACAGACACTCTCTCACATATACTCACACATATTCACTTAACTTTATCTCTTCTGCTTTTTCTCTCTCCCACCGTTTCTCACATCATATGTCTTCTCTTGCACACTCGCACCCTAATACTACTTATACACATACTGTAACTTCACATCCATGCATACCTACCTACATACACACCAGTTTGTCTCATAGACACACCCTGTCCTATTTGTAAACAGTCCCTCCTGCTGATATCAGGGGATAGTTTCCTTATCAACACGCCAAAGTCCAAAGTTACAATGTGTAGGGTCACTAGCTAACTGAGCCACTTAAATTTCACCTCCTTGACAACTTGACAACCTTGACAACTATGGCTCTCCTACACCCTACTTCAATGGATTCACGATTGAAGCTTATCTTTTCCTCAAAATTAAATAGTAACTAATTTTGTTAGATTATTTCATTTGAAATCACAAGACAGAGACAAGCAAGGAAGCTTCTTTCTTCTCCAATTTCAATAGCTGTGGGCCGCTGGTGTTTTTCTGTTCTTGATGTAAAAGTTGACCCATCTCCTCTACTTGTTTGTCTTGTCCCGGCCACATTCCTGACACTGTTGTAAATTGACAGCCAGGTTATTAAAAAGCAATAGACCATGACAACTCCTCTACTCACTAGTCACAAAGAATGTCAGTTTGGGGCAGTAGTAAGAACCACTTGTATTAAATATTCTCCCTTTATTTAAAAAAAAAGCAGGTCAGGTACTGAAAGGAGGTTTATGCAGATGCATGTTAAAGTTTTCAGGAGAAAGTAGGCACCAAAATGTATGCAACATTTTATGCATTTCTGTGTATTTCCTCAATGGTTTAGTCAAGTAAAATCCAGCATTCCCTAAATTTCCATATTTTGTGCAACCTTGAAAATATTTTGTTTAGATTTCTGTTGATTCCCTTTGTAGTTCACTTGTAGTTTAGTTTTGTGGTGTACTGACTTTCCCTTAACCTGCCTTTTATTTTCACCAAAGATAGTGAGTTCTTTAACCTCTTTCATGTAATGTAAAAAGACAGGAATAGCACAGTCAGAGCAGGAGTTGTTTTATATAACAAAAAGTTGTGCAGCTGCATTTTAACATGGATTATTGACACTGCTGTTGGTGGAGAAACCTTAATGTTTCCCTTTTCAGAGATAGATTTCTTCTTTTATAATACAGCATACGTTGACTGTGGAGTCCTGAAAGTAGACTTACCTTAAAAGAAAATTCTGGGGGCGCCCGGATAGCTCAGTGTGTAGAGCTGGCAACCCATGTACTGAGGCTGAGTCCTTGCTGCAGTGGCCCAGGGTTCGAATCCGACCTGCGGCCCTTTGCTGTGTGTCATCCCCTCTCTCTGCCCCCCTTTCCTGTCTATCTTCAGCTGTCACTATAATAAAGGCAATACATTTTTTTTTTTAAAAAGCCCCCCCAAAAAAATGAAAATTCTGGGCATAATACAATTGAGGAAAGGAGAAGGGGCTTACGGCTGTCCATTAAATTGTTAAGCCTTTAACAGCAAGGCTAAAGAGGAACATTTAAAAGCTAACATGTTTTAACAGACCATGCCCTAATGAACACCATGCTGGTTGAAACATGTTGGCTTTTTCATTTTCCTGCCAGATGAATCCCATTCTGTCCTTTTTAGCTGTACTGGATATCACTAAGTGAACCCTTCGCTAGATGTCCACAGGAGAAAAAAAGATAAAAAGTGGCACTACCAAAGAACAAAATTGGTTCAGAGATGCAAAGAGCAACAGCAGTAGCTGCAGTTTGGTGTTTTTTATTGTGTTTAAGGTGGGATAGGGATTTAAAAGCAGCATCTGGACTATATTTTCTAAATAAATGTGTTTACCCTAAGCATGACCCTCTTCCTCCACAGGTGATAGTGAGTGAGTGACTGATAGAGTTGACATGAAGGTAATGTTCCATGTCTATAAATGATGATATGCTAACTGTGCTGATGTGTGTTTCAGATGAGAATTTTCAAGAGTTGGCTGAAGAGTTGGTGGAGCTGAACTTAATCAGTGAGGTGGGTGTTTTGTGTGTTAAAGAGAGAGTGTGTGTGTGTGTGTGTGTGTGTGTGTGTGTGTGTGTGTGTGTGTGTGTGTGTGTGTGTGTGTGTGTGTGTGTGTGTGTGTGTGTGTGTGTGTGTGTGTGTGTGTGTGTGTCCGCGCGCGCTAGTGCAAAGCTGCAGGCCAATGTGTGTGGGTGATACTGTAGGTTGAGCATGCTATTTCTGTACCAAACCATGTAAAAATTCGGTTGATTTTAAAATGTGCTGTGACCCCTGACTCTTCTACATACCCTCCAGCACATAGACACCTCCCCTTCTTAAGAGCCTTATGTACATTTACTGCTACATATGTACTCCTGTGCCCACTCACTTATCCACATCAACGATGTATAGTCACTTCAAATTTCTGTGGGCGAGAGTATATGTAGCCATATGTCTTTATGACTTAATCCTGTTTCAGCTGATTACGGTCTTATGTTGTACTGACTTACATCTGTTTGTCTATGTGTGTCTTAGCTACTGGAGATAAGGTGCATTATTACAGTCAATATATTGCTTTATCTTTTGTAATGTCCTAGATTATTGAAAATGTTTGTTTTCTCTTCACAGGTGGACCAAAACAAAATAGCCTCTCTACTAGAAGAAGCATTCAGCCAAGCTCTTCACTAGCGACAGTTTACTCGACCATGTTACTGTCTCCTCATAAGTACACTCTCTTAACCCACTTACATGTCTTTTTTGGTTACTCAACACAGTGATTGTATTCAGTGTTTTTTTATGTCTTTTCTATTTAGCCTTAGGTGGTAATGTGACCAAAAGGGTGGGTATTTCTTTTGCATTAGGGATTAAAACTTCCTAAAAGCACACAATCTTTACCATAAAGCCAATTTTAGAGTCCAGGTGACTCCAAAGAAGCCACCTGGAGTGATTTCATATTTTTATTTAGTAAGTCAAAACATACATACACACACATACATATATATATATATATATATATATATATATATATATATATATATATACATATAAATATGTGTGTGTGTGTGTGTGTGTGTGTGTGTGTGTGTGTAATTCTTTTGAATGAGTTGGCTACTAAGTTGGCTGTTAAGTTTAATTAAAAGGTAGACCTCATTAATGCTGCGACACTTGATAACAACAGTACTGACTAGATTACTTGCAGCTTTATGTTGAAACCCAATTTTTCATAAGCACACAGTTTTATTTAGTGTGAGGTGTTTACACTATGAATTGCCTGGCCTGTTTCTGTCAGGATGAGTCTAAAACATAATCAAGACTGATTCAGGCCCTCACTGGAGTCACACCACATGCTAACTCATCTCTCGCTACTGTTATACTTTTAAATTTTGATGGTCGGATCTACACCTCTTGACCACCAGCATAACTTTAGCTACCCTAGAGATGAAAGGATACATTTCTACCAAAAGAAGATATTTCTAAATAAGCCAAGCCATTCTTTCTGGATCCTCATTTCACATGGTTCCCCCTCTCATTTGGCTCCCATTTGTACAACACAATCCCTGCTCTTTGTGATGTTTGGACCAACCTGTCACTTATCAGGTTAAATATATGTAATAGTTTGAAAACTGGACGGCATAGAGGCAACTTTCTCAGTTGACTTTATTATACACCAATACCCATGAGTAATAACTTTGTGCACCACTGCGCATCACATTTTGGCCGGGCATCATGCCAATTCTCTCTGGAAAAATGGATACCTGGTTACTTCGAGGTACTGTGAACAGAAGTGTTACTGAATTTCCGTTAGCGTGTTTATTTTATTTTGCTCAACTCTTTGCCTTAGTCTGAGCCTACGCACATGCCTTAAGGTCCTCTTTTCTCAGTTTGTTTTTATTATTTTATTCATTGTTTTACCATTTGCTGCTTGTTGGGTTCACACATGCTACTCTGCCTTTAAAATCCATTCATGTGAGACTTGTGTACTGAACTCGGCTGCCATATGCTGTAGGAAGAGGACATTTTCCTGATACATCCGTGTGAGAGCGTCATATGTGTTATTTATGTCACATATACTGTATATCGTGTTTGACTTTACCTTTTGTTTACTGTGATTTCACACACAGACCACATTGTTGAGAGTCTGAGCCAATACACAACTTTTCTTGTTTCTATCGCTGTTGTTTTCATTTGATTACTATTTAATAAAACTGGGACCTAGTGGTTTGACATTATCCTTCACAGAGTACAGAGGCACGAGACTAAATTTGACATCATACAAGTCTTGTTAAGACATGTATTGAGATCAGGGAGTTGCCTGTGGCCTCTTTGGGACATTTTGGCTCAGAACTCTTTGTGGACCTTTGGTACTACTGTGTCTGAAATCTCATACAGTATCAATACAAGGAAATTCTCAGATAACAAAAAACAGTTAAGATCATAACTATACAATACAATACCTTACCTTTTTCTGGCATTTTATTAAGAATATAATTGATGTGTCTTATATTCATGGTGCCAGTTAAATTGAACTACTGTATGAGCTTCAGACAGAGCTTTCCTCTGATGCTGGTTGTTGAGTTATATTATTAAACTGCTCACCTCACTAGTGAGATCATATTTAATCCCATGATCTCCACTCGTATATCTCTGAAGTATTTTTTAAAAAAGGTATTCAGGCTACTTTTGTGCTCCAGTCAGCATTTTGCTATACATCACGTGTGTAGTCCTTCTTAATGCATTGTTTACTTTATTTTCCTCTTTTTGTATGTCTATTTGTGACCTGCTAAGATTGTATATTCCAAAGATGTGTTTTTAAAGTCAGCCAGGAGAATGTAAGTGCACCACTTGTTATATAGAAAAGTGGTAAAAAACCAACCAATGTGATCACCAGAGCAGCTTTATTATCTCTCTCTCTCTCTCTCTCTCTCTCTCTCTCTCTCTCTCTCTCTCTCTCTCTCTCTCTCTCTGTATTCTCTTTTCCACCCAAATTATTGGTGGTGTTGAAACTGGTTATTAAATAATCATACAGGGTGGGCAGCTTTAGCCTGTCACTCAAGGATGTGAGCTCTTGGTTACATTTGGATATCCTTTTGTATGACAGTCAGTAAATGTGTGTGTCTTTTCTGAGACGTGTATCCTGACAAAAGGTATGACTGTTCTTTCAAATAAATGTGTGAAATGAATCTCTGTTGTTAAGACTTTCTGATTTGTTTTGCTTTTATGTGTTAGACCGTTTCTCAGTGTTATAATATAATAGAACAAAGGTGCTTGTAATGAATCAGGGTTGACTGTTGCGCCCCTCAGCGTCCAGCAAACCGCAGGTAATTCACAGGTGAGTCTCCTAACGTCATACAGGAAGTGGACAAAGGGACGTTGGAGTTTCTGCTGCTGGACAGGTGCAGGAAAAGTACGGACATTAATTGATTCAAAGGGAAACGTGAGACACAGCGGAGAGATGTGTACTTTTGGTGAGTGATTCAGATAAGATGCTATTATTATCGTTAATGTAATGTTACAGGCGTTGTGTGTCCGCTGCTAGTTTTCCCTCCGCGGGTGTATCTGACCACAGGCCTGCAGGTAGGGTGATAGCTTTCATTTTGAAAACGTTGCATATATGACATGTATTAGCGCGTGTATAATATTAATTACTCTGCTTAATGCTTGGAGGAAACGAGCTGTCAACACTGAAAGAGTCTGACGAGATAAGAGCTCAATAATGTATACGTTTTTAATGTATCGTTGTGCCCAAGCTGCCTCCACCCATCTCCGTGACTCTCAGTGCAGCCTTTGTATGCAAATGCTTTTGTCCCTTATATATAGCCTACTGACAAAAGTCGGTCCCTATAATGAGTTTAAAAATGTTTTCAGGAAGAACTCACTGTTGATAATTGTGTTAATCATGGAAGACTCAAAAATAGTTTTAGACCAAATCTGCATTTGTTGCAGGTTTATGGTTTGTAACGTTACACTCAAACATATAATTTTCTTCTTGTTCCTACAGATGTGTGGGTTTTACTGTGCAGAATGATGTATGTGCAGAGTCTGACACTAGAAGGATGTTTTAACTTTCATCTACTGAAAGTTTCTCTGTGCTCAATGGAAATCTGAATTATGAGTGGCGTCACTAATAGTTTGGAAGTCAACCCTTGTCCAATATTTAACTAAAACAAGTGTGAGGTAGAACTTTGAAGCCATCAGTGCACATACACTGACTTAATTGACTCAACAGCAGTAGATGTGTGTCCAGCAGGTAAACATTGGAAATAAACAAAATTTTAATATTCATATATTCTGGATTTATTTTTATGAGGTACTCACACAATGTTGTGTTGCTTTTTGTTCTGTGTGTGAAGTTACTTTAATGTATAGAAACCCACTAACCAACCTGTTTAAAGTTTTCATTCAGGCAATGTTACAAATGCTCTTTTGATATAAGTTCTGTTAAGTATTTCTTGTTTTTCTGTCATCCAGATAAAGACAAAGGGCCAAGGAGGCTAATGAAAAAGGGATTAACTCTCATCCTGGTCGGCCATATTAACTTCATCTTTGGAGCGATTGTCCATGGCAATGTCCTTCGCCACATTTCCAAACCCAATCAGCATATCTCCACTGAATACACTGTAGCCAACATCATCTCTGTCACCTCTGGCCTGCTGGTGAGTCAGTAGTTTAGACATTCCTCCTTTGTTCCCAGATCTGCAGTGTGCACCAAGAGCTTTAAGGCGTGTTGAACTTTAAAAAGAAAAGCAATCTTGTGGTTTATTTATCACAACATTTTACCATCAATGCCAATGTTGAATTCAACCATCAAAAGTGATTTGTGTCGTTAGCTCGGTATAGTGTTGTGTATTTTTCTCAGCGATCAAGATTGAACTTGCTTATGATAAGGGAGCTGGTTTTTCTAGTTCATTCACTAGTTGCTCTAGGGCAGGCTTCATTACATTGAGGTATCTGATTAATTGGCAGCTGTGGATGATGAGATGGTGTTGATGTCATTTTTCTTTGAAATGTACTCCAAACCAGGTACTCTATACAGGGTATTACAGGGTTTACAGGTAATACGGAGAGAACAAAAAGACAAAAATGTATCTTACTAGCACTGCTTTCCATTGGTGATCACGCACTTACTGTCATTCGTGAAAGGATAATTTCTTCCTTTGTGTCTGAAGTCTTCCCCTGGCACCTGAATTAAAAAATGCTGCCTCACATCCTTGGGGCCAGGATTACTTCTTGTGGCACATAATTTAATAAACCCTACTCGATGCCTAAGCAATGCTAAACTAAAACAATCATCTTGTCATGAATCTTACAGAGCATTGCTTCTGGGATTATTGCCATTGTGGTGTCGAGGAACCTGCATGTGATAAAACTGGTAAGAATTTAATTTATTTCATTTTAACTACTGATATAATCACATCAGTCATTCATTCTGTGTCTATTTAATAGTTACCTCCTCTTCTGTCTTTGTATGATGTGTCTGTATCTCCAGCAAATAGGACTTCTAATTGCATCGTTCCTGAATGCCCTGCTCTCAACAGCATGTTGTATTGGGCTCCTTTTGGCCATTAGTATCACAGTTGCTCACAATGGGCAGCCTTTGATGCTGGGATGCAATGACACAAAGGTGCCCATCAACGCTAGGTCACCTGTCAGTGCCAGGTGCCCGTTTGATACAACACGAATATATGTGAGTCTAAACTCTCCTCTTACAGTTCCTTCACTTTGTCCACCTCACTCACGTTTCCCTCCATTTCTCCCCAATTTGCTCTTTGTCTGACAATTCAAGCTGTAACTCTTGAGACATGAAATTCAGTAAAAGCATCACAGGAGAAATGTTCAACCTCATAGTGTTTGTTAATTACTGTATTTCACACTTTTTCTTCCTTGTTTCCATCACTTCCTGTCTCTCAGGACACCACCCTGTCGCTGTGGATCCCTTGTGCTGTGTTGGCAGGGTTTGAGGCTGGGCTGTCTGTCTGGTGCTTCATCGTTGGATTGGCTCTCAGAGGGGTTGCACCATGTGGGAACAGCTACATCAAAGAGCAGGTGTGTGTGTGTCTTTGTGTGTGGGTAGGGGTGGGTTTGCTTCAGGGGGGTGTAACTGTGCTGTCTCTGCCTGACTCAGACGTGCATTCACACACACTTGGTCTAACTCAAACACGCTTAGAACTTATTCACACTTATTTACTCCCACTTGGTCTGTCGTACTCTGTCTCTCAACGTAAATAAAAAATAAAAACTTAATTTAACAAAGACCCTGACCACTGATTCTCTCTTTCAGTTGGAAGAAGAAGCTCAGTGTTCTCCCCACAGCCGACGCCTGATTGGACAGGGCTTGAACCCTGACGCCTAACTGAGCAAAAAAGCAGGAAGGACACCACTCCATGTTGACAAGCACAGCTAAATCCCAAAAGGCATTGCTGCACCTGTATTGAGACTTGTAAAATTGTAAATTTTGCCCTACAGTAAGCTGGGTGAGTGTCACTATGTAACAAGAGTGAAATAAGTTTTCATGCTTTGTGGTTTTATATAACCACATACCCTGATTCACAGATGAGTTGCCAAATGGCTCTTTTTGCTTTCATTTATAAACCAAATTGTTTTATCTTGTATCTGAGGCTGTGAGCAGAATACAGTTAGGTTCAATTAATTGCATCTGCACTTGCTGAAACTAATGGTAAATTCATTTACAGTGACACATCAAACAAACCTCTGAAATGTACATAGGATCAAAGTGCAGATGCTTTTGTGCAGATATTTGGATTCAGTGTGCATCAATGTGGAAGCTACAATGAGACTGTAGTTTTATCAGTATCCATCCATGACTGTTTGGGTTCAATAGTACCAGATATGTCTTTGTTGGAGTTGTATGAAGGGAGACATTTTTATATTTAGCAATATTATGTTTGATTATTTTATGAATTAAGGTACATTTTAGCTTGCATGAATTCTCATTTCAGCAAAACATTGTTGTTTTGTTCTCAGTATTTTTTTATATTATTTTTTATCCTGATTCAAACCACTCTGTTGCAGTTGAGATGCATCCAACAAACCCTACTTTTCAGTGTTTGCCTACATACTAGTTTATTGCCCACAAATAATCATATTTAATGCTAGCTGCATATGCACATTGGTAAGTTGTAATGTGGAGTCATATATTGTAAATTGTGAGATGTGTTTGCTATAAAATACTAAATTCTCTCTAATTCTATGTAGATACAGTATTTGGCTTCAGATTAAATTAGACCTACTAAATTGCACTTCTTAAAAATAGCTTGTATTGTTAGATAATTATAAGGACAACTGCAGTTAGTGACATGATTATTTGAGTTTCCACTGTGGCTTAATGGTAGACCATTGGCATGTTGAACACACCATAGAAACAGTAACTGTACTACATTTCATATGTTTGGGGTTTTTTTTACATTTTGGTCATTTTTATTTTTACATTTTTGTTGACCGTATCACTATTTGTCAGCCTTGTGCTAGACTTTATTAAATTTTGTTGTTTTTTTTATCATAAAACTTTTCTTTATATACATCTTTGCTCCTTTTGCCTTTAGTAAGATGGAAAAAGGCACATTTCAATCTGACTCTGTGTGGACCCAGGGTTACACTAGCTCTCATTTAAAGTTCAGATTGCTAAAATGCAGTGTCGTGAATATTAAAAGGATGTTTGTAGAAAGATGCTCTGAACCCCCTGAACTGAAAATAATCTGTACTGCAGCATAGCTGTAGCTGAGTGCATTTGTGTATGTACAGTTTACTGTGGTTGAATGTCAAGTGGGGTCATATTAAGAGGTTAAACCAGTATGTATGTAGGCCAGCTGTCTCCCAGCTGACACAGACCCCGCCACAATTTAACAACAGAGAAGATCAGATCAGCCATGAAACAGTTAATCTAGTGCTGTGCTCAATTGTGTGGAAGGAAATCCTAATCCTGAGGCTGTAAGGGATAAATATTGACACAGTGTTGACTGATACAATCACACCAAGTCTGCTCAGCCGTTTCAGTCAGCAAGACATTGATCACATGGTAGACTCTTGAAATTTGTTTTGGACATCACAAGATGATTATGAGGCAAGAGGTAGATGTGTGATAAGATATTACAGACTTATTGTGGTATCGGACAAATTTACTTAAGTCGTACATCAGGCTATTGTAATGATGATTTGGCATTAGTAATGGGTCTCCCATATATAGGAGGTTTATGGAGAATGCAGTCCATTTATACATTTTATCACAACACAACTTATTTTTAATTCACTAATCAACCTGCTAAAATAACATTTGCAAATCACTTATTTGTTGGTATTTGTTATTACTTAGATAAGCAGGGATAAACAAGCTTGTGTTATTTTCTTGAAATTGACTGAATTGAAAAATGACATTTAATTCAAACCTTGACTGACTCCCTCTTTTTGTTCTCTGCCATTAAACATAATGAATCCAGAGCAAAATAAAACGTGGCAATTAGTGTATATCCTCAATACATTAAAAGGTGCCACAAACTGTTGTTGGAGATAAAAAAAAAAAAACATAATTTTAATTGATTTGAATTTATGACTGGCATACTTAAAGTGCACTTATCAAGCTACAAGTAAAATCAAGAACTTTTAGTGGTATCCAAACAAGGGAAATTTAAACTCTTGAAAAAACTGCAGCAGGACAACCCAATAAAACATAACCAGTGTCCTCAACCATCTTTTCCCCTGATTTATTCAGCCTAGCAGTAAACTCTCTAACAGGTGTCAAAAGTGTGCATTTTGTAACATTGATTGCCTGATTGGAAAATGTGTATGTTCTGTACTTTTTATTATGTGCTGGCAGTTTTAATAAAGATTTTTGACAATGTTACTTATAGATATTGTCCTGCTTTTACATTTGGACACTGCTATCCCTCCTTGTACCTAGCCCCTGAGGGAGTGAGCTACTGTCTCTGCCTTTATTTCTGTGGTAGATTTTTAAAAATGTAGCTTTTCACAGTTTGTGTCGGGTGTAATATGAGGTCCCAGGTTGGGTTTAACCCCAAAATAGCCTTCATGTGACCTTGAGATTGATGCTGAATCCCCGGTGGCTCTGGAGCCTTTGAGTTCTCGAGACTCTTGTGCGAAACACAAAAATGTACTCTGTACTGTCTGTTTGGCTTCCTTTATCCCTTAAAATGTAAAAGTACACCCATAAAATCTGATTATCAAATTAAGGTGGGTATGATAATTAACATTCACAAATAATCTCCATATAAGCTCCTTTAAGTAGGGAGAAAAAAAAACTAAAGGCTCCACATCCATCCAAGACACATGCACAGTTTCCCTAATATCCTTTGTGTTGTCCACTTGTTAAGACAGTCAATGCAAATTAAAAGCACCTCTGAGCCATCTATCAAAAAGAAAAGCACAGGTTGCATGTTTTCAAAGGGCTCTGACAAGCAAATACCCATCACACCTGTCTCTCATTATTGATTCACATTCATACAATAAGCCCACGACAGCACGCAACGCCCAGTGGGGCCAATTTTGTCCCGTCTCTGCGCGGTCCCGATGAATCCGCGGCCACGCTGTGCTGGCTGCACGCTGCAGGCAACCAGCTGCAAACAGTGGATCAACGGAGTACTGCAGTGAGCGGAGCCGGAGGAGCCGAGGAGCGCCAGAGCCGCTCGGTATTCCTCACTCAAGGTAAAGCATTTATATTCGTAGGCGTCAGACACGAGCTGTGCAATTCGTTTAAATTAATTCCTGTCGGCAAGCCAAAACGGAGTATTAAATGCTTTTAAAGGCACCGTGCACAAACAGCGCGCTGTCGGGGGCTGAAGACACTGCGGTGACACACACACGCACAGCTCCCAAGATTAATAACGCTCTCTCGGTTTGATCCCGGCGTGTCACCGTGTGTTTGATTGCAGATGCCTCACCGAAGACTACCTTTTATTTAATGTGTGCTTTCCAGAACTAACCAGGTTCTCCTTTTTTTCAAAAAAAAAAAAAAAAAAGAGAGAGAGAGAGAGAGAGAGAGAGAGAGAGAGAGAGAGAGAGGTAACGTTAAGGGGTGTGAGCTGTAACAGTACCTGGCGGACGGTTAACAGTACAGAGGTAACGTAACAATTTAACGTTATCAGTTCAGTGTTAAGTGTTTCAGTGCTAGCTAACGTTAGCTACCAGTGGTTTCACACGCAAGTTAGCTCGTGTCGACTGAGCGCAGTTTGGTGGTGCAGGTGTAAAACAAACCCCGATAAATGGACAGCCTCATTCGCTCTTTTAATTTCACTAGCATACTACTCTAGCTCATTTCTAAAGTTTACTGTGTAGTCGACCATAAAGACACCGAGTCGCAGAGTGTGAAACCTCGCAGGGGAGCGCTACTGTTGCCCGGCCAACCTCACACAAACACGAGAGGAGGTGAGGGGGGGTCCGGGTCCGCAGGTGTAACGTTCACATTAAACCTGCACGAGCTGCGGGTTGTGGTTTGCTTTGAATGTGTTTTCAGTAGTCTGCCACATCAACTGTGTGTGACCCCTCTGACACAACGCGCATACACACATTTATTGCTCAAAGCCCGTCTAAAAGGTTGCTAACACAGTGTGTCATGTTTTCCTGAAATGCCCATCTATCACCTGATGTGGTGGTTTAGATTTCATCAGATATTTTAATCCAGACATGTGTAGGGACAAGGGTGTGGCTGATCAGAGATAATACCAGATACAGTACAAGTTCAGTCTGAGCAAGCCCCACTCTGCTTGTTTGACCATTAAGCCTTTTTTCTTTGTGTGTTTAAACCTGCAGGACCCGCTTGATGGATCTACTCCAAGGTGGCAATTGAATATGAAAGAAAGATTTTGTGTCTTGCAGAGCAGTCATTCGGAGGATAATGACAACCCGTGGGCTTGACTTCAGATGCGTTTGAAACATCACTAGAAATCGAGTGAGAGGAGACAAAAACAAATAGAGTGGAAGAAAGAGAGCAACCCAGTGAAGACCTCCGGCAGACGGCTGATTGTGGAGCTATTATCTCAGGGACGTGTTTTCTGTTTGAGGATGGAACAAGGGGAATTTGTCCTTGACTGGGGGATTACCAGGAGGTGGAGGAAAAACATATAATTTTTTTTTTCTGGAAAATAAACAGTGTAGATCAGTGCTTTTAAAAGCACACTGCAAGACACCACTACAATGGCTGGTGAATTCAAAGACTGACACAAAGAGGAGCTCCATTCATGGCCTACAGATGAACTGGGACCCCACCACATGTGCAGTTCAGGGTACAGATACAGTGTGTGTCCACCTTCTGGATTTCTTGCTTTTACCTCCACCGCTGACACTAAACATGAACTAAATTGCTTCTAAGTAACAATTCCTACATGCCTTCTGGGTTATCTAGTGGTTGTCTTGGTGATGGGAACGTCATCAGTCTGAGCCACTGTGGAGAGATGTCTAACACTAAAATGCAAGCACCTGTTGGAAGAGGATGTATGAAAGACTTTTTTTCAAAAACCACAACAGTCTACTGCAGACAAAGCGTTCCTGTCTGTTTTTCTTTCCTCTTTATCCCCATCTTCCTACTCCTCTTCTCCCTGGTTACACCTGCTCTGTCCATTCACATGGAGTCCATAGAGAGCCACAGCGAGTTTAGCTGTGAGCCCATCAGACTGAGAATGTGCCAGGATCTGCCTTACAACACCACCTTCATGCCCAATCTACTGAATCACTACGACCAGCAAACAGCTGCACTAGCCATGGAGGTAGGTTGTTTGTTTGTGTGTGTGTGTGTGTGTGTGTAACTGCACATGGGGGAATTGGAAAGCTGCTTCCGTGAATCATATACTTACAGCAAATGCACAGGTCTTCGTCTCAGTGACAAGGTGCAGAAACTGTAAGCAACTACAAAGCTACAGACTTTCACATTGTACTGTTTGTCCACTTATGATAAGAGGACTTAACATATGCTAAAGAGACTAGGATGGCTAAGATATGATTATACCTGTAAAGAACAAATCCTTAACAAAAGTGACAACAAATATTGCTGCTACAGTCAAAAGTTGTTTTTGTTAGTATAGCCTTAGGCAAATTGGTGATTTTATGTCATGAATCGAGGCTGTTTTGTAATTTGAGCTATGTGTTAATGATTATAGTGAGTTAAGATTTTTTACATCTCCTGCAAACAGCACTATACAAGATAAACCAGAAAATCACCTATATCCTTTATCCCACACAGAGATCGTTTGCACAGAAACAATGGAGAGGCCTTGTTTTACACTGAGAGAGAAACGGGTTGCTTTTTTAAAATAACACCCCAGTGCATAATCTGTAGGCTATAGAAGAACAAATTGGATACATGGAGCCACACTTGGGAGTGAAGTGGCTTTCACACAGGCATGGAATATCAAAGAGTTAACAGGAGCGGTGAAACAGTTGAGAAAAGGTGATAGTCGATCTACCCTACTCGTGTTACAGCTCCATCTTCTCACTACACGTTACTGTTCTATGTAGACATAGATGAATGTGTATGGACTCACTCAGGCACTCATGACCTTTCTTGAGTGTGAAGAGTAGCTGACAGAGAGAAGGTGCTATCTGAGCAGCAGCGGAGACATTTTAAAACAGAAAGCAATTAGCTGATTATGTGACAGAAATATTTTTTTTTGTAGAGCTGCACAATAAATGGAAATATATTTGAAATTGCAATATCCAATCGCAGTGTTTTGATGAAGGTAAAATGTGTGACAAAACTGTATAATAATGAAGTACTGTAATGCTGCAGAGATGGTTGTTTGGTACAGACCCCAACAAATGTCACATTAACATGATAAAAAAAAAAAAATAAATTCAGTCGAAATGAAAATTGTGATGTAAAAATGTTAATTCCCATGAATAATGAATCATATTGTAATATCTGTCAACATAATCGCAATATGATTTTTTTACTGTAAGGACACTGGTTTTAAGTAAAAAAAAAAGGGGGGGGCAGTGCTGTGTTACACACTGTCTGAGTGCAATAGTAGACGTACACTATCCATCTATATCATGTTACCTCTCTTTCCTGCCCCTTTTGTTACTTCTCAGAGAGGGAGAAAGAGCACAGAGCAAGGTGTTGCTCAATAACTAGACTAGTAATTACCTGTTTTCAGCGAGTATTTGTTGGTATCAAAGGTTACGTATGGCACAGTATTTAGGATTTGGACATGTTTGGGTGTGTGCTGTGCAGTACTAAACTATAGGGCTACCGAGTAATTTCCCAGCTATAAAAGAAGACCATTTATTTCAAACACAAAGATAATCTTTATAGACAAGGCCCAGCTTGTTTTAGTGGGAAAGACAGGTTGAGTTGTTTTAATCTCCAGATGCTTGGATTGGCATGTTTTTGTGTGTCTTCGTCAATCCGGATGTGTCTCATGTCCCACAACACATGCTGATTGGCATAGTTTTACCCATGTTTTGGCTAAATGTATTTCAACTGTGGTTTATACTTTGAGGAACAGGGAATGATAACAAATACACTCAGTTCAATTAAATCTGCCTCCAGCTGTTCATCCTTGGCATATTAAATTACCCCTGTTGTAAAGCAGATGAATTTGGACAAGGCCAATGTTGGCTGTGCACATTGGATGTTTAATCCTGGGGGGATTTTTATTTTTAGTTAATGTTAATATTTTCCCATGTCAAAACGGGATGAATGTCAGCCAAAAGATCAAGCCAAAATTCTCTATACTGCATAATTTATCGCAGAAAAGGGATTTCTAACATTTTCTCATGTTAAAATGCGCAGTGCCGGAAACACTCTGGATCACTGCTGTCAGACGCACCTTTTTTTTTCCTTCAGAAAATAGAGGAATTAGGAAACATGGCTTCATTTCAGCTTGGCAAGCCACGCACTTTGAATTTGCTCAGTGTGTTTTTGAACTGACGATAACAGTCCTTGAGTCATAGGATTCTCTCAGCACATTAAAGACCATGCAAATATTCAAATCAAGTCCCCGGTGTCATGTCAAAACACACTGTCACAGATTGTAAGAAGCGTCTGTTGTTGAACTTGATTTGACCCAGATGAAGAAGGAGCCAAGTAACTGACACCATCAGTCCCTCCAGTCATGGAAGAGACATCTTTCTGAAGATGGTTGAGTAGCAACATGAGCCTTGTTAGTTTTCCTGCTCTGGTCTGCTTTGACCAGGCATGGTAGTCCTGGTGGGAACCCTGGAGGAAATTTAATAATATCTCTCATGGGACTGTGGCTGCATAATACCAACTGGTGCGTGTGTTCACAGATCTATACATACATGTGGATGGGTTTATGTGCAGGTGTGACAGTGAATCTGCAGCTCTGCTTGAACATGATGTTAAAACAAGAGTATGTTTTGTATGAATTACCCATTTTGTTTCACTTATTACTTCAAAGAATCACAACAACTATTAAGTGATTTTACTATTGTCACACAGTAAATGTATATAGAATATCAAGATGTAATGAAGGATTTTGACTTTTACATCCTTTGCCTTTAGACATTCCTGTTTAAATAACATATGTTTGACAGATATTACAGATATTATCATTAGGAAGTTAGTTGGAATCTCGTACTAAAGCCCAACAATCAACAGGGCAATTCAAATGATTTCTAGCAGGGAACACATCATTTCTAATTAATTCTGCAGATTCCCACGTGTGTCCATATATCTTTCAACCATGACAACACTTTTTCCTTTCTAAGAAAACCCTCCACTGGGCTGATGAAATTATTGTGGCTTTTATTGTTACAGCAGTATCTGTTGAGCCCTCACAAAATAGGAGCTGTGGTCCATAGCAGCTGTACAGCTTCTCAGCTGGGACAACATCTGGATGCTCTTTGTCAACAAATTCAACCTTATGACTTTTTGGCACTCTGCTCAGATGTGTTTAACAGGAGTTATTTAGGTTTGGTGAAATAAAAATAGTTGTAAGGAGACATCAAGTGACGAACTGTTTTGGTCTAAGACAATGTAAGAGTCCAACTCAACTGTTGTGGTTTTGGTTAGTATAACAACATCATAGCCTAAATCCTTTCATGCAGTCGGATCGTTTTTAAAAATCAGGAACCAGTTTCAAAGCTGTCCTACAATAGAGGATGGCTTTAGGTAAAATACATACATCTTGACAGTTGAGATGAGGACTGATCATACCTTTGTGACTGTGCGTGTGTATTTTTTGGGGAAATTTGACGTGTGTCTTAACAAAATGTAAAATAAACAACTGCTGCCAGATCAGCATGATGTTTTTCAGATGCCTTAACGAAACTGGAGCCATTTTCAGCAGCTGTCGTAGTCACTTTTTGGGTCATATCACATGATGAATGTTTGCTCTGCCTCAGTGGCAAAGCTTTCGTGTCTTGGCTTACTTGCAAAGTGGATAGATCATTCTAGTGAGCTGTCATGTTACTTTGATTTTTGTTTAGGTTGAGACATAGTCAAGCCCTGTATTCAACAACATTCTTAAACCTCGCTCTATCTCAAACAGTGTGGAGTTGTGCCCTCGGTGAGCCCTCAGTTTTGACTGACGTTGGGAAAATTGCCTTTTCTCCTTCTTTTTTAGATGTCAAGCTAAGCCAAAAATGGATTATCCCCGAGTGTGTGTGCATGATTAACATACTGGGCCACATTTATTCAGTGTATGAATGACAGGCTCAAGGTACAGAGCACTATTTCGCGTGTGTAATTGCTGAGCCTTGCTAAGGGCTAACTGTACACTACTACTTCCTGTGTTCGTGTGTGTGTGTTTGAGTGACAGGGGAGGTTAACAGTGCCAGCTGTCATCTCTCACTAGTGTTAACTAGCTGCTAATCTCTCTCTCAGTCCCACAATGAAGACATTGATTCCCACAGACCAACCGCCACCCCATCTGCCACAATAGTCAATTAAACCTGAGGGAAGAGGGTGAGAGAGACTGAAATATAAGAGGGGGAAGTAGGAGAGAAGGGAAATGAATTTAGAACAGGAGATTGTGTGACAAGTGAAATTATTTCTTTGGGTGTGTGTGTGCACTTGCATGCTTTTGTGTCTGCACGTAATTTAGGAATTTGTCAGTACCATCGACGTATTGGTCGGTACAGTCCATCTGCCTCAGCGTGTAATGGTTCCCAGAGGATGGGCTGTAGGTTGTGACACTGTTTGAGGGCTGTGCATGTTAGACACAGAGATTTAGATGTATGACATCATCGGGATTGTGTGTCTGCACTAAGGGACAAGAGCTGATCACATGGTTTAAAGCTAGTGTCGAGTTCTTTTTAAAAGATTATTTTCTGAAGCTTTTCCCCACTAAAATAACACACTCAGAGTTTATATCAGAATGATTTTGATTTTGATGCTTCTCAAGACTGTCATCAGGTTTTGAAGAAACATACCTGAAATATAATAATTGCCACATAGAAAATGTGTCTTTATTGGTGTATAGAAGTAATTCTTGTGCAGTTACAGACAAAAAGATTGCTGGAGAGAGGGGATGTTTTTTTCATAGGCGCACTGTGCCTTCAAAGTCGAGACAGTTATGAAACAGACAACAGCTCCTCGTGCCCATTATTTTTCTTTGTGAAATAAATAAATAGGCACGCATCATTCTAGAGTTGCCGTGCCTGGGGCCTCCAGAGCCCAGATGTCTGCTTGTTCAGGGAGTTTCCCCTTGAGTTAATGGGTAGATATTTGGCTTTCTGCACTGGAGTTTTATTTTGGCGTAATGTAGGTGCGATGGAGGGCATTCTTTGCCACTAGCCATTTAAC